CCGCGCGGGGAAAACTCGATATCGAATTTTCTCGGTACATAACACACGCGAGATGAATTCACGGCGTCGTTTCGGTCCACGGTATACGCGAACCAATAAATATTTAATGCCCACGTAATGTACTAGGTGTCCCGTGCCGTCTTTCAGCCGCGGCTTCTTCGATCGCTACTTTCCTTCTCCGCGTCGCAATTTTCCTCCCCGAGAAAAACTGTGACGCGATCCTTGTTCGTCGCGTCCGACTCACTCCGTCTCTCCGAAAATCTTATCGCGGTGCGACATCTTTGGCGCCCGGGAAAAAATCCATTAAATTTCGCCGGGAAATCAATAGACGAAATCACTTGCGACAAGAAAGAAAGAGAAAGAGAGAGAGAGAGAGGGAGAGAGAGATCGCTGAATAGTTTTCTGGTGTCTGATTTCTCTGAACATCGCGTCCGTTTCTCGTAATTTGTATTGCTCACGCAGAAAATACATCCCGACGCGAGGTGATCGACGATGTAGCTTTCCGCGAGAATAAAAGTACAATGAGAGAGAGAGAGAGAGAGAGAGAAAGAGAAAGAGAGAAGGAGCGCGTCCGGTAAGTTCACGTCGATATAGAAACTGGGAATATCTCCGCGTGTTTCGCGGCACATAATTCACTCGCGCTATTACGCGCCGTATTGTTCATCCTCTCGCGCGATAACTTTCGCCCGGGAAATACTTTCAGCCTCTCAGGAAATTGAAATTTTCATTCCGCCGCTCGGCGTATGAAACGAATTCGCTGCGAATTCCACGCCGATTTCCACGCCGATTTCCACGCCGATCTCTCTCGACAAACGTCTCATTTTCCTGCTTCGACTGACCTCGATTTAATCTCGCAGCCGAAAGTAATTACACGGATCCGAGCGAGCGGACAGAGCGACCGACTGGTATTTTTATTCGCGCACAATGATCCGACGATCCATTTGTCCGCTCGGTCGAGTGAGTCGCCCTGCAACCCGGATCAGCGGCAATTTCTCCAGCCGGCACGTGAAATCGCGTTAATATTTGCGGCATTTGTGAAAAATGAAACGACTTCTTCGCGGGGATATTCGCCGGCCGGTTACGGGAATATCGGGAACTCTCTCCCCGTATCAGACCGGCATCAATCACTTCGATTCACGCCCGATGTTCCCGGACGCTCTTCGATTCGCCCAGGATAATCCTGACGGATATCCTTCGCGAACGAGATCCTTCAACCCGTGTCGACCACGAAGACGTGTCGGATTAGGCGAAGGGGAAATTTGCGCGGCCGTCTCTCGAAACAGGAGAGAGCAGCGGCTTCGTCGTCGCGCGAAAATGCCGAGACAACGGCACTCAGCTAGCCGGAATAACAACAGATCCTTGGGATCCTCGAGATCCTTCGCAACGGAAAAACATTCTTCGAGACCGCCTGAAGCTTTTCGCGCGCGAATACGAAGTCGTTAATTTTGGTGAGCTTATCACTTATTAACCGGGGGAGTCGGCAATTTGTTCTGTACAGCGGAAGCTTCCGGTAATTCGACGAACTGTGACTGGATTAATAACCGACTTTGACTTAACGGTGACTTGAGCGCAAGTGTACGAAGGAGTGTCTCACCTCGCTTCCTTGTCTCCTCGATCGAGACGAGACGAGAGAAGGCCTCCGGTCGGTCGTCATTCTCTCGTGGAATTTCTTCTCCAAGATGTGACATGGAAAAAGTTAGCTTAAAATCACTTGAAGATGAACAAACCGAAGGCGTTTGACTTGAAGGGAATAGAACTACTGATTAGAGGGGCGACATCACGCGAAATTTGGATGCTCTTTACCCAAAATATTTGTCCCCCTTTCAATATTACGTGACATGCGGAACTGTCCGCCGGTCGGCAAACAAAATAAGAAAAAATAGCCTGTAACCATATTGTACTCGGAGAAAAAGGTTCCTTTAGATTTAGTATTCCTATTTATTTCACGAAAATTTGTTTCATAGAAGCAACATATGCGAAATATTATTTGAGTGAAAATTTTGTTATCTCGTTTAAGAGAACTATTATTTAACAGAAAGAACGCTGTTATTTGAGATAATATCTTTTAACCAAATAAAATATTATTCGGTTGCAATAAATATGTATAATGAAACGAATAATTTCTTTATGAGAAAATTATCTTTCGTTTCAAATTTTTTATTTGAGATAAAGATACATATTCGTTGAAAAGTCTAACAATCGTATTTATTAATCGAAACATTAGTTTCTTTGGAGCATGCCGATGATGAAATTTGTTTGGATGTGATAAAATTGGTTAAATTTGAAAAAATCTTTCTCCCAGTGTAGATAATAATTATTAGACTGCACTATATATTATCTCTCTCCAAAATACAAGTAATTTTTAGAAATAATATCAAGTTATTTACTTTATTTTATAATTCCGATTAATAAAAGTATTGTATTTTTGAAAGGGTAAATATTAAAAAACGAACATTTGGTTATTAAAACCGTGTGGAAACTTGACAGATCTTCATCAAATGTAACCAAATGTGTGACGAATGCAAACAAAGTGGATAATCACGCGCATCCATATTTACAAGCTATGCCATCGAATGGTGACGTTCCATTGCCTTTATTCCCCCCTTCCCTGCCATCTGCGACCGTCTGCGCGAGCTGAAAGCTCCCCCCTCCTCTCGTGGTGTGATATAATTGCCGAATGACTCTTTATAAGAATCGAATTTGATTCGTAAGAAGCAGAAATTCTGTTCCATCCGAGCAAAACACGTTCGGCTTCCTTTTGTCAGGTAAATTCAATCAAATTCAAGCAATGACCCTTTCCGCCCATATCGCGCGCGAAGTTTTCTCGCAAATTCGCCCGTTAAAATCCGCGTTCGGTTCGTAAACCGGCGGGGCCGTGAACTACTCGAAGTTATGTATAAACCATATTGTTACGATCCCGCGCCCGTGAATACGTTACGCCGAACACGTACCATCATCACCAACCCCCCATGTGCCTAATTTTCCACGCTGATTATAGCCAGCCTCCCTCTGGCTTTGAATATTCATCGCGCGTACTTCGCGCAATTCCGACAACTCTTTGACACTGAAATCTCATTGTAGGATGAGGATCGGCGTTTTTGCGGTTCATTCAAAATTCACAGCTCGGCGTCGCGAGCGCACACCTCGCGAAATACAGTCAACCAGTCGTAACTCCCCTTTGTATTTCCATGCGTCACGCTATGTTTATAATTTCGCGGACATTCCGCGGATACTTCGCGATGAAACGCAATGATCGACTGACGGCTTTCAATGTCCGCGTGTTATAATTTCGCGAGCGATTTCCGGAATATGGAATCGTCAAGGATGGGTGGTAATAATAAGTTACTCAGTTAAAAGTTAATAACTTTTAAATTAACTTAGTTCACTTTAAATGAGTTTACTTTTAACTGGTTAATTTAAAGTGCATTGACTGTGTAACTTTCGAACTCTTTTTCACGTGAGTTAAAATAATGTGTCAATATTAAAATAATGGTGCGGGCCGCTTGCAATATAAAATATAAAAAATCGACCTTTTTATTTTCCAATAATTCAATTAACTCGAGGCACAATGGATTTTGTCCGCGTGCTACAAACGAATCTTCTATGAGGACCGTTCTTCTATGATTATCAAATCAATTAACCTTTAATGAAGTTATTTTTATTTCGGTAGCTTCTTAACTTAACTCAGTTAATTTTACAGGCCGTAACTCTCAACTTAACTCGGTGAAAAATAAACATCAGTTTATCCAACCCCCTCGCTGCATATCCAGATGTGTTATTTTAGCTGAGGCTTTTCTTACACACATTTCTTCCGTTTTAAATCACGTCATTTAACACGACCGTGTTAACTTAATTCAACACTTAATTAAACGTTTCAAATGACCTAATAACTTAAAGCGGCAAGAAACATGTTAGAAGGATTTAAATCGAACGTGTGATTTTTGAACGTTCACACGTGTAAAAATGACACACTTGGATTTGCAGCGCTGGGAAATTGTACACCCGGAATTATATCGCAGGGAAAAATATCGTATCGATCGTTCGATTTCATCGATCTCTCGGGTTCTGATACTTCGCGCGATCCCCGAGCAGAATACGAGCAGCTTTCGATACTCTTGAACATTGACGGAAAAATTCGGAAGCCCCCCGCGTGCGTACCGGAATAGGAGGGCGCGTGCATATGTATGAGAGAGCGAACGAGCGCCCGCCCGGAAATTCGTTTGATTGCGTCGTGCCCGACGCAAGATAATACAAATATACACAGCGCGCGCGCGCACACACGCACACACACATCGTACCTGACTCAGTTCCGAATTTCCCGTTGGTTGAAATTTTTGCGCGTCGATCCGCGCGAACTTACTTGCCGCGCGCGCGACGAATGTTCTTTCGACGACAATTTTCGCGAGCGGCCGATTTCTCTTCCTCTTGTTTTTATTTTTGCTTCCTTTTTTCCTCTTCTATCGCCGCCGATCGACGAGTCTCCTGGCGGAAGTTTCCGCGATATCTCCGACTATCTGCTCTCTCGTCTTGATAACGTGATTCAATTTCCTAAATAAAGAAAACGCGTCTCTATAACGTATACAAATATATTTCCGTAACCTTTCAGCGCCCTTATCGAGAGAGACGGGTTTTCCCGTTCAGGGAACGTAGCACTATTTTTAAATTCTGAACGCGCTGTTCTTAAATTCCCTCCGTTTGAGCGGCGGACGAATTTACTGGTGGTTTTTATTCCGGAATCCACGTCCATTTGCGTGCCTGTGAAAAACAATTTGTTTAAGTCAACAAGCTCCGCCAGTTAATAGAGAGGGACATAATTAGCTTCTGTCAGTCAGCACTGTTTCGTGAATTACATTCGACTTGGTAATAGAACGATCTCTCTCTCTCGACAGGGCTTAAAATTGCTGGATAAAATTAGAACGACTCTATAAGACTTCTACTTATAGAAGCGAATCGCAACTACGAAAACTCCGCGAATATTTCTTCCCGTTTTTTCCCCTCAGACGGACTACAATCGGCATTTGGAACAGCTGTTCGAGCGGGTGACGGATCTGCTTATCAGCAGCCTGCGGACGAAGATCGCCGTGGACAGATTGGAGGAAGTGGCCGAGCTTCATGGACGTCTGGAGCAAGTGCGACGTTTGTTCGGTAAGTAAGCGAAATGATGTCCCATTGCGCGCAAGGCGCTTTCAGTCGCGAGAAAAAGCGAGAGAAAGAGGGAGAAAGAGAGAAGAGAGAGAGAGAGAGAGAGAGAGAGCGAGGTGAGATGTCCGATTCTCTTCGATTGGAAACAATGAGATCTTATTATTACTCGGCATCTGTTTTGCGACTAGACGAAAACGTAGCCGGCAGGACGATGGCCGCGGAGACCCAGCTGTTCCTGCGCAAAATCCAGGAACTGTCCGACCTGTCGTCGACGTTGGAGATTTGGGAGCCCAGCCTCGAGGCTGAACTGCGGGATATCCGGTGCGGATTGAGAAATCTGGCGGTCCTCGTCAAGCAAGACAAATGCCTGAACGCCGGTGGCAAGTTCGAGTGGGTGGACAGCGTTCTGGTGAAGGTGCGCGCGATCAGCTTCCGTGGAGGCCTTTTTGCTCAGGATGCTCTTCACTTTTCTTTTCTTCTTCTTTCCCCCCCCCCTTCCCCTCGACGAGATCGCTTTAAATCGCTCGCTGCCACTCGAACCTGATTTAAATAACTTTCGCGCGATACTCTTTTACGACGCTGCTGCTACTCGCATTTTGCACAACGCGAGCAATAAAGTCGCGACCCTCGGAACTTCTCGCGCCGCCCCTCGATATTTCAGCCTTGACACGCGATAATGTAGGTGCCGCGAAAGTTTTAATGGCGTCAAAAATTGCGGTGGCCACCCCCGGGGAACTTTTTCGAAAACACGCGAAGCTACTCCGTCTCCGTCCGCGGCGTTAGATTTGAATACCTTACGCGTTCGCTTTCCTTCGCTCTCGCCTTTCTTCCCGACAATTCCTCCTCTCGGAAATTAGACTCGCATATAATTTATTAAATTTATCTAACTATTCGTTATATATAATACATTCGGGAAGAAATTACGCGTGGAAATAAGATTTCGCGTCGAGCGATCGGCGAGTCGACATTTCGACACCCTCAAGGATAGTCTGCGCCTACTTAAATGGCTTATAGATCAGTAAAAGCTTTCTTCGACGAATACCAGTTCGCTTCTCTCTTGAACTTTTAATTCTACAGATTGACAGAATTTCAATGCTACCTCGAAACTATAAATGTTCGTGATATTTTGATTATCGAGTTCACACGAATATTCGAAACAACCAGTTTTGACGCTGAAAATAGCGAAAACGACAATATAATGCATTATGGATAAAGTAGGGAGAAATTATATCGTTGGAATTGAATCTATTTTGCTGTCTGAGCTCCTATTGTGTCGCGGAGAATTAAAGGACGGAGCCAAAATTTCGAGCTCGGCGAGCTTCGCGTTATCTATAAACGCCGTCTGTTACAAACGCTCCCTAACTTTTTAGTGCTTGCAAGACGGCACTTGGCTGCTGATCGACCAGGTTAATCTATGCAGCCCAGCTGTACTAGACAGACTTAATGGACTGTTAGAGCCGAACGGTGTTCTCAGTATCGGCGAGCGAGGCGTCGACAGCGACGGCAATGTCGTCACCATCAAGCCTCACGGAAACTTCCGGCTGTTCCTAACTATGGATCCCCGATACGGTGAAATCTCCAGGTATATTCTTTCTTCGATTCCGGCGAGCCTCTCGGTCCGACTCCCGTCTCGGATAACTGATTAATTATGCGCGCTTTCAACGATCCGTCGTTCCGTTTTTTAAATAAAAAATGTACATATATTATCTATTATTTTAAAATAGAATCAATCAATTTTAAATATACGCCGTTTCGTCCGTTAACCTGTCATCTCTCCAATAACTAGAGTTCCCGCGTTCGTAGAAATTTTAGGATCTCCGAGCGAAGAATCGATTGAAACAGCGGGACGGACTTTTGCGTTAATCCATTATTTTTTCTTACCCACGATATTAACGTCCGTCATTTGTTCCGTTTTTTCATGAAAAATGCACATATATTATCTATTATTTTAAAATACAATCGACTGATTTTAAATTAAAATTTTAGTATGTCGTTTTGTCCGATGACCTGCCATTTATCCAGTAGCTGCAGTTCCCGCGTTCGTAGAAATTTTCGGATCTCCGAACGAGGAATCGATTGAAACAATGGAGCGAACTGATCAATCTAATACTTACTTTTTATTCTCGTGCGGTTCCTACAGATGCAATCACTTGTGCATTATTTCCCCAGAGGGAAATTTTCCCGTTTATTTGATAAATAATAATATCAACTCCGCTGAATTCAATAAATATCCCCGGAAGCCTTTTAAGCCCCGTTTAAGCCCGTTTCTCAGTGTGGTTCCACAAGACACAATAATAATAATAAAATAATAATAACAATGATTTTAGGGCCATGCGTAATCGAGGCGTCGAGATTTACATGCTCGGCCATCGGGAGAAGGTCTACCAGGACGCGATCGACCTCAGGTCTCTGCTGTTGAACGCGGGTGTCGCGAGGCCGGCGCGTCGGGACGCGTTGCTCGCGATGTACGACATGATGTCGCAGGAAGCGGAGGACCGTCCGAGTGCGGTCGATCTGTTGCACACCGCGTTCCTGACGCGGCAACGATCGCTGCGCGGCTTCCCGGCGGAGCGATCGATCAGGGACGCGTGCGTCGACGTCTACGTGAAAGCCAGGCCGACGCGCGACCGGCGACACCGGCGGCACCTGATTTCCCAGATCGACGAGGTGATCGGCGAACAGCGGTTGATCTCGCGCGACGAGGAGACCTCGCCGATCGACGTGGACGCCGCCACGTGGAGCGTGAGGAATTTACAGGACAATTCGGCGCTCACCGTCGTCAGGCAGCAGGGGCTGCTGCTGAACGCGGCCATCAGGATGCGTCCGAGAGCGTCCGGTGCAACGGGTGCCGACGGAAACGACGTCACGAGCGAGCCGTTGAGTGTCTTCTGCGAGCTCGACGGGGAGGCGTTGAGTTTCGGCATCGAGGACGTTTTGCCGGACCTCCTGCTCAACTTTTACGAGCTGTCCTCGCGAGACGACGCGCCGCTGAGGAGGGATTGGATCTCGAAGACGCTAAGAGAGATAGGGACGGTCGACGAGGAGCTCGAGGAGAAGAGCGCGTTAATGGCGGAGGAGATCGCGTCTTTTCGCTTCCAGTCCGCGAACCCGAGCGGCTCGTTGCCCTGGGACCGATGGTGGCTCACGGGAAGGCCCGGCGGGGACGAGAGTATCGGCTACGACGCGAACAGATTGGCACTTCTGCTGTACGCGAGCGGTACGATTCTTCGAGGAAGCGGCGGGACTCGAGCGGACGTAGAGGAGCTGAAGAACGAGGACGTCATTTCCGTCAGGCAGTACTCCAACATCGTACGTCGCGGTAGGTCGCGTCGAGAATTTCGAGGGGGGCGAATCATGGTTTTATTTATTCTTTTATTTCTCTTATCTTTGTTATAAATGCATACAGTCCGTTTATTCGAATCAATTGGGAACTGAACCGTAAAATCTGACGAGTCGAATGAACGGGAAATGAAATCCGAACTTCGTGATAATGAAACCGACCAACGAAACTTGAACTTAAGTTTCCCGGTGGACGGGGAGTCCCGCAAAGTTCCGTGCGGGCCGTGAATCGCGGGTGACGCGCTTTTAATGCACTCGTAACGCCAAGTTTTCTCATCGGAATAATTTCGTGCGTATCTCAAGTAGCAGCCCGGGTGTCCATCTTTAACCAGTTAAGTGTGTTTGACGACTATATCCGTCATGCGTAAAATTTTGTTACAATTTGATATTTATTGTAATTCTGGCGAAAACTAAATTATATTCGTAAATTTTAATATGGGTAAAATATTGAGAGGTCAAGACGAAATGAAACAAACAAATGAAAATGATAAATAATTCGAGTTGGATTTATAACTCCCTGAGAGCTATTCTTTCTGTTTATCGCGACACACACTGATGGGCGCTTTGCAAAGAGATCGCCACAGTTAAGCTGTTTAAGCGTGCTCTTCCCTTGTATTTATTATTCGTTAACTTCGGCCCGCCCATTCTCTTCTCCCAAGACCGGTGTCTCCGGTTGGACCAGTAGATCAGCAGAATCTCCCGTTCGCAGGCGAGCTGTTCTCCCAATTGAAGGACAACCCGCTGATCACGCACTTCGCGGAGTTCCTTCAGCGTGCGAGCTCGTGCATCGACGCCATCCTGCACGACGATAACGCGAACGTGACCTCGGAGGAGTACGCGGAGCTGAGGAGGCAGCTCGGGTGGTACACGAGATTCGCGAGACTGGGCGAGACGACGCTGGCGGACAAATCGAAGAAATCCAAGGACGTATACGTCAATCTGAAGGAGACCTCCGTGCTGCTGAGGGTGCACTACAAGTGGCTGCTGAAATCCCTGCGGAAGCTGTGCGAAATAGTCAGCGCGCCGTGCGAGAGCACCGAGAGGGCGATCGAGTCGCTGAGGAGGATGACGGACGACCTGAACGATCAGCTGAAGACGATTTACGACCCGGTCCGGAAGATCTCGAAGAGAATCAAGAGATACTTGACACTCCCGCTGCCTCACCGCTCGGAGACCAGCATGAACGTGTACTCGGAGCTCAGCGGGGTGACGAGAGAGCTGGAGGCGCGGGACGAGGCGGCCGGCTCTCTGAAGCGAGAGCTGAAGATCGCGTCGACGCAGCTGGAGGACGCTCTGGCGATGAGACGGCGAACGATCCGCCTGTGGAGCGACCTTCACTCCGGGGAGGCGATCGACGAGGACACCTTGGAGAGCGTGCTGACGGTGAGACGGTTCTGCGACAGCCACATCCGTCTGCGAACCCCCGCGGAAATCGAGGCCCTGCGTGCTCGAGTGAATTCACTTCCGGCCGGGGAAACGGCTCGGATGAACGCGAAGACGCAGCTGTGGCCGGTCTACGAGTACGTGTTCCTGTCGCTCGCCTCATCGCTGCAGAGGAAGGTGTGCCTGGAGGAGACTCTCCCCGTTGGCCACGTTGAAGAGTGTCTCGCGAGATACGCGGATGTACCGAGCATACCGAGCGATCTGATGGGTCTGCTGAATGCGATCGTTCGGACGGAGGTCGAGCAGAGGCGGAAGACGTTGCTGCTGCCGCAACTGTTCCATCGACTCGCGCAGTTCGCTCAGCGATCCTACGCCGTCCGGGATTCCAGCCTGCTTCTGCAATGGCGCGGCGTAACGGCGGAGGAGGACGCCGAGGACTCATTGACCGCTTACGCTGAACCCAAGGTACCTGGTTTTTTTCTCAATGCATTCGTGCAGGATCTCTCTGAAACACGCGGACCGGCCGATCACGAGTGGACCTTCCGTTTCCTCGTTTATCGCGTTGTCCATCGTTATTTATAACGCCCGGTTTCTGTCCGGTGTTCAACATGGATTATATTAAGGAGACCGGAAAGTAATGTCGTTTCTGCGCATGTCGATATTTGATTTGATTGATTTTTACCGCTCCGGCATTGAAAATTTGTATACTAGATGGCAAAAGGTTGTTGATAACGAAGGTGAATATATTGTTGATTAGAAATAAAAACTTGTTAAAAATGTAGTCGTGTGAATTTAACTTAAGAAAGCGACATTACTTTCCGGTCCCCCTAATACATTGAATCGTGACGTCATGACGTCACTATTATTTAGTAGCTATTTATTCCATTCGTCTATCTAACACTCAGACTGCCCAGATAATCTTTAACCTTGCCGCCTGGGGTCGCAGCAATGCGCGCAACCGTGCGTACATAGTAAGAATGTAAAGCAAATGTGTCCAATAAGAGGATACGTTGATATCTACTTCTACGCGTATTCCGTATTTTACGGGTTATTTCGTGTAAACACTTTTAACACACCGATATAATAAGAAAAAGTTACGCACGGACTGCTTTCCAAAGTATCACACGTATAAGCTCGATCGTTTCATAACAAATATACGTTAACTCCACCATGTTTTACACTAGCACGCGCTATACAAATGATATTTTATTATTTTCACACTCCACACATCTATAAGCAATTCGTCAAATTATCCCCATCTCAGTGATCGAAGCCGTCTCCCGCACACGGGAGGTGCTACAGCGTCTGAGCGTGAATTAACAAGAAAACACACCTGACTAGCAATATACTTCCTCATCTCGGGAAGGTGAGGTGTCGCCGAGCTGGCGAAATTCCCCGGAAGACCGGGGGTGGAGAACAATCTCGCTAATCCCCGCTCCCCTGTTGGCAGACTGAATGCTACTTGGGCGGGCCGGTGCTTTTGAATCTGACGGTGCGTTTGATGTTGGAGAAGACCGATCGCGAGGAAAGGAAGAAAAGGAGGATCGTCTCGGCGGTGGCGCTCGGGACGTACGTCGCGCAGACGGGGCAGCTGCGGCTGCTGAACGAGATCCTGTGGCGCAACAGCGTCTCGTTGGCTCGCAGTTCGGCCGACGACGACCTGGCGACGTTGAAGCATCACTCGCGCCTGTACCTGTCGGCGATCGACCGGATGAACGCCGAGCACCGGCTGGTCGACCTGATCGACCTGGCGAAGCGGGCGGGACGTCGGGACGCTGAGCACGAGCTGCGAGCCGGCTACTTCGAGCCGGTGGAGCAGCTGCGCAAAGCTCACGACGACCTGAGCCACCTGGAGGAGAAGAACGTCTGCGCGTCCGAGGTGACGCTGCGCCGCGGCCGAGCCTGGATGCTGCTCGGTTACGTGCAGTTCCTGCTCTTCGGCAGCCTCGAGCCGATCGACCCGGTGCGCAAGCTGAAACTGAAGCTCGACTACTTGAACGAGGACATCTCCGATCGCGAGAGGACGATGTACGCGGCGAGGTTGCAGAGTCGCCTCCTGGCCGTGGACGCTCACCCGCGGCTGGCGGCCGCGATGAAGACGCGCGGCGAGCTCGCTCCTCCGGAGGCCTACAGACCGACCTCCGTCGACTTCGCCGACCTGAGCGGGCTCTGCGCGGAGTTCAGGGACGGTCTAGCCGGCTACCGCGCGGTGGAGAGGCACATGAACCGACTGTACACGATCGGCCAGGAGATGAGCGAGGAAACGGACACCGCGGCGCGAGCGGAGAGAGCGTGTCAGGAAGCGGGTGTCTGGTGCTCGTCGGTGGGCCATCTCGCCGAGCGGCTCGAGGCGAAGTACCTGGCCGGCTACCCGGACGTCGTCCTGCCGCTGCTGACCGGCCTGGCGCAGCTGAGGCACGGCGCGTCCACCCTCGTCCACGAGGTGCGCCGGCTGGCGTGTTCGCGCGGCGCGCTCGATTCCGAGCTGCACGAGCTGCTTCGCTTCCCGACGATCGGCCCGGGCCAAGAGAGCCTCCTGGAGCTGAGCGGTCGGTGCGCCGGCACGCGGCTCTTGATCGAGTGGAACTCGGACGACGCGTTCGTCAGGAAGCGGAGGCAGTTCCGGATGCTGAAGTCGGCGTTGCACGAGCTGCGCAATCACGCGATCCTCGCGAGGGGTCTGACCCGGTCGCTGTGGCGGCGGATGAACGACCTGCTGCTGCGGGTCATCCTGCTGTGGAAGCAGCAGCAGCGGGAGGAGGAAAGACGGGCCGCGGAGAAGGAGAGTCTCTACAAGATCGAGAGTGACGAGCGGACGGAGGAGGAAGAGCTCGCCCTGGAGATCCACCGGCTGTTCCCGACGTCGCGCGACTTCCGCGACATGGAGGAGGACTCGGAGCTCGAGCGGAGGGCCGAGTCGGCCGAGGGCTCGGCCGGTCTCATCGACGAAGACGACGTGCGGGAGATCCAGCGGCTCCACACCGACATGGTGAGGACCCTCGGCGAGTGGACGCACAAGATCAACGTCTCGGCGACTCCGGACTACGTCGGGCCGTTGCTCGAGAGGTACGACACGGTGCACGGCATGCTGGACGACGTGCTGCCGGCCCTGAGCGAAGGGCTCGCGATCAAGCTGCACAACAGCTTGAACCTGCTGGTCGGCTTGGGCCTGCAGGCTGCCGAGGGAAAGCCGAGCGGCGCGTACGACTTCTACAAGGACTGCAACGTGGAGGAGGCGAAGCGGTGTCTGCCGGTGTGCGAGGGCATCCTGAGCCGCGTCGGCCAGCTGCTGGAGGAGTGGCCGGCCCACCCGACCCTGACCTCCATACGAGCCATCGTCGAGAGGATCTACGCGTTCCCGGTGACCTCGGCCGTGTCCAGGTTCCTGCAGGGTCTGCAGCTGCTGCTCGTCAAGATGCACCAGTGGGAGGAGAACGCCCACCGCGGCGTCAGCATGGCGGATCACGTGGCGACGTTGACGCAGCAGATCGTCTCGTGGAGGAAGCTGGAGCTGTCCTGCTGGAGGAGCTGTTTGCAAGCTACGCTCGACGACCTGAGCTCGGCCGCGTCCAAGTGGTGGTCCTTCCTGTACGCGTTGGTGGAGAGCTACGTCGACGGGACGGTCGGCAGGCGGGAGCTGGTGGAGTCGCTGGGGCGCTTCATGAACGAGTCGTCCCTCGTCGAATTCCAGCCGCGGCTGGAGCTCCTCTTCACCTTCCACTGCCACGCGCACCACCTCGAGGAGGAGGAGCGCGGCCGCGAGCTCGCGGCCGTCTTGTGGAACCTGTACAAGTACTACGGCCAGTTCGCGGACGAAGTGAGGGCGAGGATCGTCGAGTCGAGAGTGCCGATCGAGAAGAAGCTGCGGGACTTCGTGAAGATCGCACGGTGGAACGACGTCAGCTACTGGGCGGTGAAAGAAGCGGTCGAGAGGACGCACCGCAGCCTGCACAAGTTCGTGAGGGAGTTCCGGAGCGCGCTCGGACAGAGCGTGTCGTCCTGCCTGGCCGTCAAGTCCGTTCCTTACAACGCCGGGGTCGCCGGCGGCGTTTGGCGGCAGCACCGCTCGATCGGCCCCGCGGACTTCGTGCTGGCGACCCCCCAGTCCGCGGGCAGGCTGCTCCTCAGGGCGGCGAAACTGTGCGAGGAGATAGTCCGGACGAGTCCGTACCCGTGCGCGCGGGCGGACCTCGAGAGCTTCATCGAGGACTACCTCGAGCGGAGCGCTCGCCTCCGGAACGCGGAGGTGGGCTCCGGGCCGAAGAGCAGGCAGAAGTCGCGGGCGAAGAGCATCCTGCAGCAGAAGCGGATGGCCCTCGCCGACTACTTCAAGGCGTTGACTCGTATCGGCGTGTCTTACCGCGCCGGCGTGCTGGCGTTGAAGAACCACCCGGACAAGGTGATGGACCCGACGGTGCCGCCTGTGGATCTCTCGGTGACCAAGCGGTGCTTCCAGCCGAGGGACGCCGACCGGGACACGATGACGCAGTGGCGCGGCTGCGACAGGTATTACTACCAGTCGCTCATCCGATTGGACGGCTTGAACGCGATGACGCTGAGCGCCGGCCGGGCGGACCTGGGGCCGCAGGACGCGGACCGTTGCCGGGGCTACTCTGCCCAGATGATGCTGATGGCGCACAGGCAGAAGGCGACGATCGCCCGGTCCTTCGACCGCTTCTTCTCGCTGCGCGGCCTGCTCTCGGGTCTGTCCGAGAGCACCGAGGCGGATCTGAGCGCGAGGAAGCAGCGCGTCGGCCGAGAGGAGACGGCGATCCTGAGGACGGTGCTGGTCACGTTGGAGGCTGGATTCGAGCAGCTGCTGCTGTTCCTGCGGTGCTGCTGCCCGGCCGAGGAAGCGGCCGCGGAGCTCACGATGAGCGCGAACGCGCTCCCCGGGGTCGCCGCTTCTAAAGGCGACGAGGTCTGGAGCAGCGCCGTCGCGCTGCTCAACGGCTGCCTGAACGGGGTGAGAACCGCTGCGAACCGGTCCCGCGACTTCCTCGAGCCGTTGGAGGCATCCGGGAGCGACTCCGTCGCGTTCCTCAGCTCCGAATTCTTGGAATTCCTCGAGCAAAGTCGAGAAATAATGGAGGATCTGAAGAGGCGATGCGGCCAACTCAGAGGACTGTTCGAGAACGCGGACCTCGCGCATCCCATCCTGGAGAACGTGGTCTTCCTGGAGGAGCTGGTGGGGCGCTTCGGGGCGATCGAATTTAAGGGGTTCGAGGGAGAAGAGCGAGCGGAAGAGGAGGTGCGACGGTACGAGCGCAAGTTGGAGCGGCTGGTGAACGCGATATTGCTCGTCCTGCAGAAGAGGTACAAAGACCGCGTCGGGTCGGAGGCGAACGAGAGCAAGAGAGAGCCGAGCGGGGAGAATACGGAGGACGACGAGGCCGAGAGAGATGTGGAGAAAGGCGGGCTGAAGGAAGCCCTCGTCGAAGCGCTCGAGAAGGACATAGCCGAGCTGAAGCTGCCCGAAATATCCCAACAGTTCACCGGCCTTCTGTCGTTGATTCAAGAGCTCGATTCACAATCGGCGGATCATTGCACCAGGTGAGGAATCGCTTCGCTATTCGAGCGGCGGCAGAAAATCTCGACGCCCGCCAGGCTGACTTTCGTCGATCGTACAAAATCCTGACGCTGAACTGATGAAGATGCAATATTTCAGTGTAATTTGATGTGGTGTAAATGTTAACGATAGTGAGTCGTGAAAAATTGCAGGGGCTCGGGGTTAGATAAGTTAACTTTTAGTCTTAACCGAGTTTCTCAAGTTAAACGTTACCCGAACTAAAATTCACTTTAATGAAAAACGATATTGAATTGACCGATTAAAGTCGAAAGTGAATCGTGCAAAGCCGTGTGCATATGCATGTGCTCTTAGTAGATGAAATCTATGCGAAAGAAATGGTACTTTATTATGAGAAAGTACCGACTGTTTCGTATTCAGGATTCCACACGAGGGATACTCCAACGCTCAAAGAAACGATGGGTAATTCCGGCCGGCGTCATTTCTCATTTGTCTTATTCCGTATTACGTGCAGCCGCGATAATTCCAATACCGATAAATTCTTTCGACTTCTATAAAAAGGTTAATAAGATAGCGTATTTAAAATCAAGTAATTTGCGTGGAAATTTAACTCGTTTAAAATCAACCAGGTCATTTGAAAGTCAACTATTTCACTTAACTTCTCACCGATCATGCGTAATCTATTCCCTCCGCCTGATTTCATTGGCTTTTCCGACTGTACGGACAATTTGTAAATGCAGCCATACTTTAAATAAAACTTAGGTGTGACACAGTTAAAGCGCGATCAGACTTAAGTGAGAATATTCCACGGTGGGAGAGCAGGTCGACAACGAAGCTGTTGTAATTTGCAGGCTGCTGATGAAGCATTTGCCGCTGCTGGAGCAGTATATCCTGCTCGTCCAGTTTTACCTGAACGAGCAGGTGGCGTCGTTCCGGGTCACGTGCAAAATACTGTACCTGCAGCTGAACGTCTTCTTGGACCTGGCGGCGAACGGATTCTGCATGCCGAAGGATTTAGACCTCGAGGAGGGCGAGACGGGCGAGTCGGGTCAGAGGACGGAGAAAGGCGGGATGGGTTTGGCGGACGGCGAGGGGACGAAAGACGTCTCCGACAGGATCGAGTCCGAGGATCAGCTGGAGGATGCGAGGCCGGTGGAGGAGGAGCGGGAGAAGAAGGAAGACGAAGGCTGCGAGGAGGAGGAGAAGGGAATCGACATGTCCGAGGACTTCGACAGCAAGCTTCAAGATCTGGAGAAAGGCGAGGACGACGAGGAACGGAGCGACGACGACGAAGGTGACGACTTGGACAAGGAGATGGGGGAAACGGGAGAAGGTGCCGAAGAGCTCGACAAGGAGATCTGGGGTGACGACGACGAGGAGGGCGACGACCAGCCGAAGGACGAGGGCGAGGAAGGGACGGGCGAACAAGTCGGCGAGAAGGAAATGAGCGCGAAGGACAAGTCGCGGGAAAGCAACGAGCAGGACAGCGACGCGGATCGCGAGGACGAGGGCCGCCGGGAGGAAGAAAGGAAGGAGATAAACGAGCTGGACGAGCCGGAAATAGGCGAGGATCAGATCGACCCGTATCACGGTAAGCACCAGCCCGAGCCGGAGCCGGAGCCCTTCGAGTTACCGGACGACCTGAACGTGGACGAGGACGGCAAAGAGGATCACGGTGAGGAGGGGGAAAACCCGTTCGACATCGACGCGATGAAGGATTCCAAGCCGCCGCCGCCGGAGAAGATGGACGTGGACCTCGAGGGGGAGCCCGACGACAGGAACGATCCGGACGAGAATATCAGCGAGGACGAGGACGGCGAGAACAAGGAGAATCATCAGCAAGAAGAAGAGGCGGAGGAAGCGAACGAAGAGGAGGAGACCGGACGGGACCGGAAAGAAGGCGCTGAAGCCGCGAGGAAAGAAGACGAGGCGGAAGGGAGTCGGGAGGACGAGACGAGAGAGGAGGATCCGCGGGAAAAAGCGGCGCCGAGCGCGGACGACGCGAGCGCGCAGGCGGACGCTGCCGAGCAGGTCGAGGAGACGAAGGAAGGCTCGCGGGACGCGGTGGCGTCGAGCAACGAGGACGACCGGCAAGAGGCGTCCGTGGAGAAGAGTCAAGAGGAGGAGGAGGACGACAAAGGCACCGGGCAGGCGCAGTCGGCGCGGCAGGAGAGCGGACACTCGGGCTCCTCCGAAGAGCGGAAGGCGGCTCCGCTGTCGCAGAAGGACGAAGCCGCGACGAAACCTGCCGAGAAGAGGAAGAGCCCGGGCGAGAGCAACGAGGAGCGCAGTCTGGTGGACAGGCTCGAGTCGGCGCCGAAGAAGTTGAAGACCGTCTACACGGTGGACGAGGTGGTGCCGGGCGACGAGGGGGAGGAGGACGAGAAGCAGACCGACAAGGCCGAGATGTGCCGGCACGTGAAGGATCCCGAGGGTCCTTTCGACGACTACACGCTCGACGCCGCGACGGAGGAGCAGGTGAAGCAACAGGCTTCCACCGAAGCGAAGGAAGAGGAGGAAGAGGAGGAGGAGGTTACGAACGTGGAGATGCACGAGGACGAAGAGAAGAACGAGGACGAAGTGATCGAGCAGAGGCCTGAGAAGGTGTCCGAAGCCTCGGAGGACAGACGCAAGAAGGATCCGAGGCGTGGCGCGAACGACGCGGAGGACAATCCGACGTCGGTTGTCGAGCTGGAGGGGGAGACGGTGAAGACGATGAACGTGCAGAGAGGCAACGAGACGACGTTCCACACGGCGAGCCGGGAGGACGACGAGCTCGGTCACGCGGACAGGGCGCGGTTCGAGGTGGAAAGGATGCTGGGCGAGTGGACGCGGAAGCCGACGACGGAGGAAGCCGCGGCCGCGTGGAACCGGCTGTCTTCGGTGACGGACACGGCCGCCCGGGAGCTGTCGGAGAAGCTGAGGCTGGTGCTGGAGCCGACCCAGGCGTCGAGGTTGAAGGGAGACTACAAGACGGGCAAGCGCATCAACATGAGGAAGATCATCCCCTACATAGCCAGCCAGTTCCGCAAGGACAAGATCTGGCTGAGGCGGACGAAGCCGTCGAAACGCGAGTACCGCATCGTCCTGGCGCTCGACGACTCCAAGAGCATGACGGACAACCACGCGCAGGAGATGGCCTTCGAGTCCCTGTCGCTGATCTGCCGGGCCATGACGTATCTGGAGGTCGGCCAGCTCGGCGTCGTGAGCTTCGGGGAGCAGGTGCAGGTGCTGCACCCCTTGGAAGAGATCTTCACCGAGCAGAGCGGATCCAGGTGAGCACATTTGCTTTTCTAAGGTATTGAGAGGCGCTAACTGAACGACGTATTCGGCGAAGGGGTCGGTAATCTCTCCTCTTTCTCTCTATTCGCAGGCTGATGCAGGAGATGAGATTCGATCAGAAGACGACCGAGTTCGCGGAAGTAGTGGACTTCACAGTGGATATGTTCGAGAGTCGGCACACCTCGTCAGACAATGCCAAGCTGCTGATTATACTGTCGGACGGCAGGGGGATATTCAGACGGAAGGAGAGAGTAACTCGCGCCGTGAGGAGAGCCAGGCTGGCGAACATCTTCACGGTATTCATAATACTGAGTAATCCGGCAAATAAGGTAATTCTTTCGTCTTACTCCGAAAAGATACAACACGTTACTTATTACAATACGTTACACAATGCTCTTAATTCGATTCGATCAATCGGCGAAGCTAACGCAGTCGTCAATATTTCTTACAGTACTCTATACTAGACGACCGTGAGGCTGTCTTCGAAAGGAACAAACCGGTGGAGTTTCGATCGTGCATGGACGATTTCCCATTTCCGTTTTACATGATCGTTAGAGACATCAACACTCTGCCGGGTGTCCTGAGTGACGCTTTGCGGCAATGGTTCGAAGTTGTCGGAAAGATTGATACTTAATAAATAGTGAATTTAGGACATACGTAAAAGAAATAAAGTAATTGAAAATAATGAAGATTGAGAAATGATGCAAATATAAATTTAAAAAAAAAAATGAAAGACAGATGCTGCTAAGCGTTGATCGTTTAGCATCATTAATTATTACGTTAATCTTCATCTTTACAACCAAAACTAAGCCTTTCTTATCTTGTTTAATAGCAGACTATATTCTTCCTTTCAAAGTATAATATATATTAAAATTTATATATATATATAATATATATATATATGTGTGTGTGTGTGTGTGTGTGTGTGTGTGTGTGTGTGTGTGTAGTTTTTCATAGTATATATAATATTTTTATAATAGGTGCATAATACTATATATACTATAACGCACTGTATATAATATACTATCTAACCTATGTATGTAGAGCAGGACAGCATTCAATCGTTTGATTAACTTTTAATTGTACAAATCTAGAAAAAGAAGCAGAGTCTATGAGCGAATGGATCTAAATTCGAGCACGAAAATAGCAGGTAATGTTGTATCATCTCAAGAATGGTTTTCCCTCATCCATCAAGAGAACATTCATGGAAAAGCACAACCAAAAAATATGTATATACTGTGTGTATGATGATAATTATACTGGTATAATTTTTCTAACCTATTTTTCGTCTACAAATCTATATAAGTCTTACGTTAAAACAACCGTTGACGAATAGAAAGTGCCTTCGATTTGCCTTTTGATCTTCAGATATACTACTGAATATTTCTGAAATACAAAAACTTTAAGTCGTCATCTTGTTCAAAAGATGATCGACGAGAAGCGAAAATCCATCCGCACTACGCAGGTGCAATTATACTGAGGAAACGAAATATGTAGCTCGAAATCATTATCGTCGAAAAACGTAAAGTTTTTGTCGTGCACACAGCATACACACCGTACATTTCCAAGTTTTCATCTACATTAACACGTTCACTGCGGCTATCGGACCTGATTTCTTTTATTACGAAAAAATTCCAAATGAAGTAAAATATGTGATAAAATAGTTACAATAAAATGTTCAAACCAATGTAAAAGGAGACTTTTTAACAAATAAAAAATTTTCAACATTAGGTAACTATTCCTCATCATTGGACCTGCAGTGAATGTGTTAAAAAGACAATTTATGTATTTCACAATACAAACATAAGTACGAAAGCTGTCCTACTCTGTACATATACGCATTGATAAAAATGTTACAGCAAGGTTTCAGCAATTCAGATATGAAAATCATTCTGTCGTGAATCATCGGATGATCTGTAAGTAACATTCCTTCTTTCTCCTCTCTCTCTCTCTCTCTCTCTCTCTCTCTCTCTCTCTCTCTCTCTCTCCCTCCCCCCGGTAATTGAAACTCACAAAACCTATTCTAACAAGCTGCATTATGTATTCGGGGCGTCAAACGATTCAAGTGTTTTGTACTAAGCTCAGCCAACTTCTGCCCTCCCCGCTCACAGATGTAGGGAATCTGATCTGCACCAAACGGACGTTCTTATCGTCTATCTCTTTGTACTCCGAAGTGGTAGGTACGACTATCGTCTCACCCTCCTCGGTCTCATTATAATTGTACACCTCTTCGACGTGTTCCACAATTTCGGTATCGGTTTTGCATTCCATACCCTCGTTCTCCGTGAAATCCATCTGTAAGGAAGTTACGCCGTCATGATTTTATGGCGATGAATATTCAAATCTCGATATTTTTCATTTCCGAAGTAAACGCCTGGATTCAGTTGCTACAACCGCTCGTTGAGCTGCTCAGTGAGCATTTGCGTCTAATTAGTAATGTATATTTTTCAATCTAAAAAGATAGCATACTGACGCAAAAGCTCAGTAAGCGGTCGTAGTTACTGAATGCACCTGTTTAATTCAAAGATCCGAATAATGGCTGGAACAAGGCTTCTCATACATTCAAAGCGATGTATCACCGGCCCCGTCAGGCCGCTTAAAAATAGTCCGCCATCCTTACCTGAGTCTCGACGACGAGATGATCCACTTCCGTGTCTACGTGCTCCTCCGTGGGTATATTCAATACATCCTCTTCCGTGTATATCGGATCCTCCTCTTCCTGCTGTATGATCACGTGATCCTTCAGTTCAGTCACGTACAAGCCAGTTGTTTCCAGCTGAACAAACGATCACCGTTATCGAACAGAATCAAAATTCACGTAACGAAAATGCACACATGTTTCTCTATCGTCTCATGCATCGGCCACATCGCTCGTGAAAAACAAATTTTACCTGTCCGTTGTCAGTTTCCTCCATCAACAAGTCATTAGTATTAGCGGGAATCGTTATAACCTGGTTGTCGTCCGTCGTTAGTCGCGGCTGATTCACAACTATGGTGTCATTCAAGTGGTCCTGAATAACAGATGATACGCGATAGATTAGTATTAACCCTCCCCCAAAAAAAAAAAAAAAACCTCCACCATCACACAATATATGATGTAAACTAAACGTTTCTCACGCAGTACCTGAGCCTGCATGTGCGCGTAGAGCAGTGGTTTCCTCATGAAGCCCATGCCGCACACCAAACATTCATACGGCTTCTTATCGCTGTGTATAAATCTATGCGCATTTCTGTTGTCTCTACTGTTGAACGCTTTGCCGCACACCTGAAAGAAAAGTCGTCGCATTTGCGTCACAGATCGCTTCCGAGGGAGGGTAGAGAATGAAACGAGAGGGAAGATAACGATAACTCCGTTACGCACCTCGCAACAAAACGGTTTCTCGCCGGTGTGTATACGCATGTGCTTCTTGTAGTGTTCCGGATATACAAACATGGCCGAGCACAAGCCGCATTTGTGCGGTCTCTCGCCGGTGTGCGCCGCTTTGATGTGATAATCCAACAATCTCCTCCTCTTGAAGCCTTTACCGCAATCTTCGCACTTGTAACGCTTGTCGTTGTAATGCGTCGCCCGCTTGTGAGATTGAAGATTTGACCTTTGACTGGAAAACAGTAACGACGAAGACAATTTCAATTTATCGCGAAGAATTCCTCCAACTGCTGAGTGAGCGTTCGTGTTCGAATGATTGATAAATAAAGATGCATCTCAAGGACAACGCTACAACATATACCGTATAAAGGCGCAATATTACTTGATATTAAGTACATCTCTGGAAATATTAATAGATGGTTAATACATCCACTCCTAATATAATATTTAATATTTAAAAAATAACATTATTTAATGTTATTGTAATATTATATATTTCTTAAATATTTAACTCTATGTATTATATATATAATTATAATTTTTTATTTCAAATGTGTGTGTATTACGATACCAATTATTTTATTAAATAAATAGAGTCGAATGTTCACCTGAACGTCGCGCCGCAAAACTCACACTGGTAAGGTTTCTCGCCCGTGTGAGTGCGCTCATGATCGCGTATTTCCGCTTTACGAGCGAACGCTTTACCGCACGTTCTGCATATGTAAGGTTTGTGCCCAGAATGCACGATGTTGTGGACCTCCAGATTGTAAGGGGAGCCGAAAGCCTTGCCTTGAATTTCAAGAGAAACGAAATATCAATGAGCGAACAACAGGAAGAAGACTCCGCCGAGTTCGTGGCGAAGACGGGCCGATTGATATCGGCAATATATCGATGCACGCATGCAGGCTCTCACCGCACTGATGGCACACGTATTCCTTCAGACCGTTGTGCGTCTCCTCGTGCCGATTCAAGTTTTGCTGGCTCAGAAACGTTTTGTTACATCGACCGCACTGGAACGGACGCGGTCGTATCTCGTGCGTCTTCACGTGCGCTTTGTACGTGTACTTGGACGCAAAGTCTTTGCCGCAGGTCTCGCAGATGTACGGCCGAACACCCGTGTGTGTGTTGGTGTGCTCGTCCAGCAAGTTCTTCGAGCTGAAGGAAAAACGACTGTCGTTAAACATCTCCGCGCTGCGTTACTTTCACCGCTTGACCGCTTATCTTGCCTGTATCTCTTCCCGCATGTTTCACAATGCCACGACTTCACCTGAGGATAATGTATTCTCTTGTGAATCCGGAATAATCGTAAGTTGCTGAATATCCGATTGCATATTTCGCACTGAAAATCACCCTCCTCCTTCGCCACGTGGTCGTCGAGATGCGACGACAGTTCGTTACGTTTTCTGAAGTCCTGCCCGCACACGTCGCAAATGTACAGGCGAGTCTCGTGCACGCTCTTCATGTGCGCTATAACAGTCTTCGCGTCTCCCGACACTTTGTCCTCTTTGTCGAAACATAACAAGCAAGTATACGTGGAGCCATCTCTAAGTACAATCTGGAAAAGAAGAGGATGATATCGCGCGTTACATAATTCCATTAGGCTGTACAACCTGCTAATTGCCGCAACATTTATTTCAACGTAACCACCCACTTGGTCTGGAATAACTTCCTCTTCCTTCATACCAGCTCCTTTGCTCTTCCTCAGTTTCTTCTTGTCATCATCGTCAGCTTTGATCTCAGTCAGTTCTTCAGCATCGATTATAGTATCCTCAGTCTCAATAGGGAACTCCTCTTCTTCCTCCTCCTCCTCTTCTTCCTCTTCCACATCCTCCTGTACTATAAATTCCTTCTCCTCTACCACACTCTATAAATATTGACCATCGTACAGTTATACCTTACAACGTTACACGTATGTTAATTATTCATTTCTTATTCAAACTTTGCAAGGCTCTGTACCTCTATCACGGCACTTTGACTCTCCGCATTGTCCGCGTAGTCGTGTTCGTTATACTCCTCCTCGTTTGGAAATATGTCGGGATATTCTTTCACTGTATTCTTGTAATTGTTAAATATCTTCAGCTTGATTTTGGCTAATTTATTTTCAAGCTCATCGTACTGAAACAACACAAATATATAGATAGAATTCGTAATAAGAACATTTCAGAGTTGCAATATGAGAGATTGTCCAGACAAACTTGCATAATCACATGTTGCACGTGTATAGAGAAACCAACCAATCGCGACCCGTGCAGAAAAAAGTCACCTTCTATACCAGACACATGATTGGTCAACTTTCTTCTGCATATGCATTATGTGGCTATGCAAGATTGTCCTCGACAGGTCTTCACTTGCACGATACTTTACCTCGTCGCACAGTTTATAACATTTTTTACAGATCACAAGGGAATGTACAGAGTCCTCACTGATATCGACCTCTAAGATAGCCGCTATAACATCGATCAGCATTTTCCCCGACGTGGTAACGGTGGAGTTACCGAAAATGCGTACGCTGTTTCTAGCGGACACCCCGACTTTGCTGTTGCAGACCAAACAGTTGCTGCTATCTTTGTCGGAATCAGCCGTCATTTTGCCGGCTACATAAGAAACGGCGTTTCATTCAATCAAGAAGGAGAAAAGGGGGAACATGGTGCGAGAAAGGACAGACATCTATAACGGCGGATACCCGTACCACTTATTACATTTAACAACGACACGACGAGCTTCTGAGAAGAAGTTCGAAACGAGCTTGAAGAAGCAAGCTCTCCAAGTACGCCCGCAAACTCGCAAGACCCATTCGACGGTAAGCCGGGTGGGAAAAATCGGGGATCTCTACGATCGGTGGTCGCCGGTCAACGACGCTCGCCGGACGCGATTGCATCTCGCGCGCGCGAGTCCAGCGCTAAACATGGCCGTATAGTTCCCACGGTTGCTCGCGGTTCTTTTCTCCGTCCGTCCGTCCGGCGCTTCCGCGCGCGAATAAATCCCAGAGTCGAGCGAGCTGTCCGCATTTAGCGCTAGACAGACTAGCGAGAGACTCGCGTGGCGTGGCGTTGGTACGCTCGCTCGCTCGCTCGTTCGATTCGCGAGCGTCCGCGCTCGTCGAACGTGGCCGTTCCTTTCCCGAGGACATATTTACGGTCGAGCGAGCGACTTTCGCGAGCACCTCCGCGCGCGCGAAGGAAATTCAAGGCCGCACGAGAGAGCTCGATCTAGATTTCCCGAGCACGTTCGAATCGACGGAGACTTCCGAGCGGACGCCGAGCCAGCCGTGGGATCGTCGTGTCGGTCGCCATGCCGCGTTTTCCCGACCGAGAGAGAAACGCGATCGGACGGCACACTCGAGACGCGGTATGATAACGGAGCCGCGCAAAAAGTTGCCAGCACTGACTTGAAATTTTCGTTTCCCCGGTGTGGACGATTGGCAGCGGGATCGGGAGGAGGCAGCGATCGGTCCTGGCGGCGACGTTCACGTTCGCATCACGACGACCGGCCGACGACCTGAAGACCAGAGGGACGCCGAGAGAGAGAATAACGAAAATGGCGACGCGCCTCGATCGTGCGAGAGTACGTCCCGTGCGTTTTCACACTCGAGTAACAGTCGGGACGGACAGAGGGGATCCGTTGGGTCCGCGCGCCCTCTCCCGGAATCGCGCGCCGACCGACGTCGGCCGTTTTCCCGCGCGAGCCACGTGCTAGCCGGAACGACCGAATCGATCTCGCCGGAGAGATAACGAGATATCTACCAGCGGGTCACAAGGGTGGCATCCCTTATCGTTCGTGATTAACGCAACGTCTTTCCTTTTTCTTCACCCGAGCCGACTGCCGACCTCGGCTGCGTATTCGCGCCTGTTTCGCCACGATTCAAGGCGGTTTTCATTGAACTCGTTGAGAAGCAATTGATTGGCCCAGGGAGGAGGGGCGAAACTAACGTTATTATCAATTCAAATTTAAAAAACACGATTTGTAACATATATTATTCATTTCCTACGTGAAATGTACGTATATCGTACGTAAAATTATCAACCATTCCCTTTTTTATGGTTGATTTGCGTGTATATTGTTGCGACCATGTGCGCCGTCGAAAGATCATCGCCATCCCACCGGTGTCTCGATATCGATTAACCACGATCTGAGTGAGCGTTCGTGTTCAAATGATTGATAAATAAACGTGCGTCCCAAGGTCAACGCTACAACATATACTATGTAAGCGCGTAATATTACCTGATATTGAGTAATATTTCTGGAATATTAATAGATGGTTATATATCCACTTCTAATATTATTATTATTCATTTAATATTCTAAGAAGATTTTTATAATATGCCAAAAATATTATGCGAAGCGGACGTGTAATATCAATGGAACATTCCTATAATGTTGAAAAAATATTCCACAACATTCGTAGAATATTATAAGAATATTATTTTAATATTGAATAATACTGATTAATATTGAATAATATTGAATAATATGATATTCTAGGAATATTACGCGCTTATAGGGTACCTCGCTTCAAGTTCTTTATTGATTCGCCGAAAGTCTCGCATTGAAATTTAATCCACTTCTCGTACCGACGTTCCCTTGAATATCCATTTTCCGATCTAAGCGTTTGAATGAATGAAATTCGCCATTGAAATTATCATGTTCCTTCTTCTATCGTTGTTATTTTTAGAAATGATTGAATACGTGCAAGACTGCGACATTCTGGTTTCACTTGAATGAGATTCCTCCGGATGCGCATGCGCGTAAAGTCGAGTCCAGCGAGACCGAGTCGTGCTGTGCAATTGTGTGCAGTCGCGTGACGATCGTGGTCGCGTGAGGGTGATAACTTTTGTTCAAATGAATAAAAATGAGCCGATGAACAGATATGGGCCTCTCGTTGGTGCGATCGACGAGGGCACGAGCAGCGCTAAATTCCTGGTATGACGAATCTTTCATTCGCAATGTCACGATCACGCAACCATGTGCAATTCGACGATAGTAACGCGTTACGAACTGCACGCATAGATATGTCAACACGTTGTTTGATCGATTTGCCCCAAATCATGCGTTAAAAATAACTCGGACGTTCACTTTCCGGATTGAATTCTCATCGTACAACGACAGCACATCGGGATAAATAATTTACTCGTTCAATTCGTGACATGATAATAATGTAAAATTTGAAGAAGATTTCACGTGTTCTCGCACGTGTGATCTCTTCGTTGTTAATTCTGTTTATTATCATTTTCACGCTTGCAATCGTGATGCGAGGATATAAATAAATGCAGGGGATATAAATGTGTTCACTTGAACGAGAGAAAGAAATTAGCGATGTACTATAAATTTCACACTTTCATAGTTGCGTGATAAATTACTTCCTCCTATTATCTTTTTATTGATCTTTATCTTGCGTTGTTGTTGTTGTTGTACAGGTCTTCGCAGCCAATACAGCGGAAGTCTTGACGTACCATCAAGTCCCGATACTTCAAATTTGTCCGCAAGAAGGATGGATGGAGCAAGATCCTTTAGAAATATTAAAAGCAGTCAGGGAATGTCTTAATCAAACTATACACAACTTGAGGCAATTGACAATAGATCCGTCTGATATAGTTGCTATCGGTATAACAAATCAACGAGAAACTACGGTTGTATGGGATTCCATCACAGGAGAGCCACTTTATAACGCCATAGGTAAAGAGTTGCGTTATTAAATACCACACAGGGAATATGTATTTGCCGAATCGTTTGTAAAAAGGATTTTATTCGTGAAACAATCCACCCGACTCAGTTTTGACCATTTGTTGCAGTATGGATGGACATGAGAACCACTACGGTCGTGGATGATGTACTAAAAAACATACGTAATAAGGATAAGGATTACCTGAAGCCACTCTGTGGCTTGCCAATTAGTCCATATTTTAGTGCACTGAAGCTGAAGTGGTTGCTAGAAAATGTGCCTCGCGTTCAAGAAGCACTGGCAAAGGAACGTCTCATGTTTGGCACCATCGATTCCTGGCTAATCTGGGTTCGTTCATGAGGAAATGATATAAACAAATTCAGCGATTTAGATCACTTCTAACTTTCATGGTGTCAATCTTGTAATTAGAATTTGACCGGTGGTGCCAAGGGAGGTGTTCACTGCACAGATGTCACAAACGCTTCGAGAACAATGCTCATGAATATCGTTACTCTCAAATGGGATCCCACTCTGTTGTCATTTTTCAAAATACCCGCCAAAATTTTACCACGAATACGAAGCTCGTCCGAAATTTACGGTTACATACAGGATGAACTTTTACAGGGTGTTCCTATATCAGGTGTAAGTGATTCTCTAATGCGTTACCTGTAACCGCAATAATAGAGATACGATAAGAGAGAGAGAGTCGTTTGTGAATAAGAAAATCACTTTAATCACAGTGTTTAGGCGACCAACAATCAGCTCTGGTAGGTCAGATGTGTCTTCAGCAAGGACTGGCGAAAAGTACTTACGGCACCGGTTGCTTCCTTCTTTACAACACCGGCACGGCCGTAAGGGACATTTCTATATACAATTTCACGACGTTGCACACCGTCGAGCTTAAATTCCGACTAACGCAATTTCGTTTCATTGCTTGTTACAGATCGTGGACTCTGCGCATGGTCTGTTAACGACCGTCGCTTACCAATTAGGAGAGCACGCTTCCCCGGTGTACGCTCTCGAGGGATCCATAGCTATCGCCGGTGCCCTTATACACTGGTTGAGAGACAATCTAGGAATATTGGACAATATAGAAGACTGCGAAAGTATCGTCAAGCAAATAACCGCGGAGAATCGCGTAGTTTTCGTGCCGGCGTTCTCCGGGCTCTACGCTCCCTACTGGAGGAAAGATGCGCGCAGGTAACGCGTTTTCCAAACACAGATGCCTTTTGCGATGCGATATCGAAGCAGCGATCATTTCAGCGTCATATGCGGAATTAGCGAGGATACAAACAGCTCGCATATCATAAAGGCAGCCCTGCAGTCGGTGTGCTTCCAGATAAGAGATATTTTGGAAGCCATGAAGAAGGATACCGGCTTAATGCTGTCGAAATTGTTGGTCGACGGCGCGATGACGAACAACGACTTGCTGATGCAAATGCAAGCCGACATCTGCGGCATTCCAGTAGGTACGTAGAGCGTCTCATGTTAAACGAATACACACATGTGTACAACCTGATAAGAGCCGATGATACAAGCATACGTGGTTTCATAAGAAAGTTAGGCCACTGATGTGCGAAACTACCGCGCTCGGAGTGGCGATCGCCGCGGGGAGTGCAGAAGGGATACGCAAATGGGACGTGAGGATCGACGCTAACGTACCCAGCGACACTTTCCTGCCGTCGATCACCGAGAACGGTAATTATCACGACACGTTTTCGAATTCGTTAGAAATATTTATACACAGTCCCTGGCCGTGTTATTAGACGCACTTTGATTTTTTTAATAGAATACAGGTTACAGGAGGAGAAGAGAGGCTAATTTTATGTTCACTCGATTAGAATAATTTTCGGTGTCAGTCAGCGTGCGCTTTTACCTCCGCAGCCTTCCGAGGTGTCAAATCACTTGTTTCACCCATGATTTGTGTGAACAATATTAATATTTTTCTGTTAGTAAACATGGAATTGGAAACTTCAAGTCGCAGGTAAATAAAAATTAAATTAAATTTCAATTGACACACACACACACACACACACACACACACACACACACACACTCAATACACGTATGCTCTTGTTATTATCAACAATATAACCAGCAAGGGGGGGGGGGTTCTTATTCAAGGTCGTAACAGTCAAGTGAAATGTCATAGAAAAAAAAATACATTTTAAAATCATGGTTAACATAATTCGATCGATAGATGAGTCGTATTAAAAAACTGGAACCTCGGAAGTCAATGAATTGTAAAAAATCAAAGTGCGTCTAATAATATAGCCGGGCACTGTATATTAATATTTCGCGACACTATGAATGAGAAAGATAGTTTCGGAGTTTTGGGAAAAACCATTTTTTTCCACGAATTTCTTCGGTTTTGTCCCAAGGGTACGGAAATTTGTTCAGAAAAATTCACGCGTGTTCAGTTTAAAACCTGCCACATCTACGTCTTTTCCCGTGAAGAAGGTAAGAAACCGAAAAAAAATCAGCGGAAAAGTAGGAATTTTATTTGTTTACAAGAAAATGAGGGAGAAAAAAAAGATTTTATCCGAAACTTGAAAACTGTAATGCGAAGTTTGACATATATTCGTTTTAGAACGCGATGTCTTGTATTCGCGATGGAAGGCCGGTATTAAGCGGAGCTTAGGATGGGAAACGCTTCCGGAGGATAACGGTAACGATAATGGTAACTATCAACAAATTGAGTCCACTCTAAAGGACGATTCATAATTCGCGACGGGATTCAAACTGGATTATCTTTGCGATTTTACGCGCTGTCCGATGCTGCAGAAAATGTTCGAGGAATCGGTGTTGCGTCACACAAGACGTGCGCGCACACACACACACACACACACACACACACACGTCTGTAAAACCCGTTGGGCGCGAATAAAATCCTTTCCTGGGTTCTGTCGCGATCTGTAAGTCGTTCTGGATGGACTTTCCGGAGCGAGCAAAAACTTTGATCCTAACGGGCTACAATTTCAGGTGCTTCTGTTGCAGATGACACGAACAATATACATCGAGTGACCGCTCCAGGTGTGTTTATGATAGGAACTATAATATTACTTATAGTCGCTAAGTGCAGATCTACTTTGTAATAAATTTATACGGTGTAGTATATACAGTATGTACTCTGTACATTGCATTTAGTCCAAAAAATCGATCGACGCAACTCGAGGGATATGCTTACTGTAAATGTGATATGAGGTATCGCGTGTCTAATCGTCCGGCCGCGCGTGCATGTGACTAAGATCAAGTATTATTTATGAACCAAAAAGCGAGAGATGCCGTAATACATATGTACCGTGATAGAATGACAAAATTATTCCGATTAGAATGTGAATAAACTGTTGAGTTACAGCTTGGTTGTTCGATGATTTTCTTCTTATAGAATTTCTTCGCAGAGTTGTGTACACGGTTTTCGTACTTTCACGTTTAAGTCGCGGTTAAGTCCTCGTGGTTTCCGTTTCATCGTCGACGGTAGCCTTAGGTCTCTGATTTAATATACCTTGAGAGATCGCGGGAGTGATCGCATCTTCGGCGGATGCTTCACGCTCCTTAGATACTGAGGCCGCTGTTTTCTACGATGACGTATGAGAGGCGTATGATTAAACGCGGAAACAATTCATCTCACACACACACACACACACACGCGCGCGCGCGCGCGTGTGTCGTCTCGTCCGTTATCTGATCGGCACTTACGGCGAATTCGTCACTGATAGACGTTTGAGCGACGACGGACGTCTCAAGCCAGCTGTCGGTTCTTATGACGCTGATGCTCGGTCGTTCCGGCTGCGGCACCAATATGCGGGTAATCAGAGAACGACAGGGCTGTGACACCTTAGGCTGCTTGGGAAACACCACTTTGCTCTGCACTTGCTGAATGAGGAACGATAATGCGCGAATTTAAGCTCAGCAATTTACAAGAGAACACTCGCAATAACAAGTAACCCGTCAGTGCTCCTAACACGTTTATTATCTTTCGCTTTCTCGCTTCGTGTTGAATTCTCTTCAGTTTCGAGCGGGAAAACGACAGTAGGAATGTTTCCTTTTTTTTCATCGCACACGAAGGACTAGAGAATCGACTTGGTTGTGTCTCGGTTGCACACCAGTCTCTTGGCGTATACCTGGATACCTTTAATAACAGCGAGTGGTTCGTTTCATCGAACGGCAGCTGACCGTAGACCATGGCGTAGAGCACCACGCCCACGGACCACACGTCGGAGAGCTGAGGCTGGTACGGGACGCCTCGCAGGATCTCGGGAGACGCGTAAGCGTAACTGCCGCAGTAGGTCCTACTGAGCGGCCACTTGCCGCTCTTCGTCGGCTTCATCTCCCTTCGCGCGAACCCGAAGTCCGACAGTTTCACGTTGAACTGTTGGTCCATCAGCAGATTCTCGCACTTGATGTCCCTGCAAGCGGTGACCGGACCAGAGGACATGATAGCGCGACGCTACCAGACGCTCCCGGGATACTCAATCGAGAGACGTCGGTGCGCTCAGCACTGACGTTTGTTTTTTATTTGAAACGTGGTCTACAATGGGTAGTAGGGGCCCGGTAAGCAAAAAATTGCCAACATCACGAGGCTGTTGCAATGATATTTTATAATATGTAACGTTTTTCTCAAATATGTATTTCTTAATGTTGTGTACAACGTCGTCGTTAATAATGTTTGGTCGGAACATTAAAAGTAATATTTCTTACACTACACCGTGATTTTTTAATATTTAGGGATATTATATTATCAAGTAACGGTTCGGAAACATTTATAAAATATTAAAATGCCAAAATGTTTAATGAATTCCACGTAAAAGCAATGTTCCGTAAGATTGATTCAACGTTTCTTGCTTACCGGGGAGTAGGTTTATTAAAAGTAAAAGTAAGAAATTAACCAATCACAGTCGATTATTCTCTTTACGCTCGAGTACGATTGGTCGATTTCTTATTCGTACTTCTTGCGAACGTACTCCTGCTATCCCTCGTAGACTACGCTTTGAACGTTGACTTCTCTTTCCTCATCTTTACCTGTGCACCACACCACGTTCGTGGCAATAATCAATGGCTTCTAAAAGTTGCCGGAACCACCTGCGGCTACGCAGCTCGTCGATGTAAATGTCGCGTCGTATGACGTCGAACAAACTGCCGTTCTGCGCGTACTCCATGACGATGTACACTCTGCGGGAAGAAGCAGGCGCGATTTTAAGATAGAGAGAGGAAGAGAATCCCTACGAGTGTATTTGTAAAACACGAAATGTATCTCCAGATCAGGATACTTTCGTTCGCAGGCGAGCTGTAGGATCTCCTTTCGCAGGAACATGCATTCCCGGGGAAAAATGATTATATATAATCATATACAATTATACAAAGTCATATGTGAATTTTTCCCACACATACGCGGTCACATATATGATCACATATGTCTGTACGGGAAAAATGATGCTACGTCGTTTAATCAAATGTCGACACTACGTGTTGCCAGAAGCACGAGTAGCCAGATGCTTTTTACTTCGATCGCATTTCCGTATGATTTGTAAATAAACAACGGCATTTCCTCGTTACGGACGTATATAATCATACATAGTCACATATGATCTGTTTCTTCCCGAGTCAGTCCGTTTTCCGTGCGGTCCGGCCTATACCGGTATCGTTCGAAGATCGATCGGACAGAAGATGAACGAACCGATGAGTCGTTTCTATGGCTTGCAGGAAACGAATCAGATTTGGATGCTTCAAGCCCTTGACCACCTCGATCTCGCGAGTTAGGAACTTCGTGTACTCATCGGGCGCTTGGAATTTCGAGACGATCTTCACCGCCACTTGGCTGTTGTGCAGATCGGATCTCGCGATCTAAGCGTGACACGTGCTCAGGATTAAAGGGAGATCCGATGGTGAATCGACGAGTAAGAAGATTACCTTGACCGTGGCGTAAGATCCAGCTCCTATGGTCTTCCCGAGAACATAACCGTGCGACTCCAGCACCGTTAATTTCCTGCCGAACTTCTCACCGTTCCTCTCCACCGTCGATTTCATCTCGGCCGGTCGCTCGTTCCCCGAAGTATTCTTTGTTATTGGCACCGCGGCCATTTCCGGCCCGGACTAGGCTTCCGACTGGAAATCGAGAGCGCTTCGAGTGAGATGCGAATAATCTCGTCTGTTCTTTACAGCTGCACCGCCGAGCGATAATACGTTGAAGCGAGAAAACCATATACTTGTTTAGCTTCGACTGATCGCGCTGGTTCGGCGGTTGGGGGCTAATAAAAAGCTGACCAGATATTTAATCGAGAGAGAGAGAGGGAAGGGTTTCATTCTACGAGAATGAATGTAGGATTTTATACGAAGTAAATCCGAAACGAGAGTCGGTTCATTCTGTTTCATCGAGGTCTCCTCAAATCGTTCTTCCCGGCACGAACGACATTAGCCGGCATCTCGCGGTAAGAGTTACCTTGACGATTTCCTCATGTTACTTCTCGAGTATATTTCCATCCGACGGGGGGGAATTCATTTTACTTTTCGTCGCGTTGAACACACATCTCCGCTCGTGGAACGTGAGACTTTAATTTAACTTCGGCATTCGCGTTGCAGAGGAGGAGGTTTCGAATCGTCTGACAATCGTGAAGTTCGGGATATCTTTTCGCGCACGCACCGTGCCAGCCTCAGTGCCGTATCTATTCCGAGGTGTCGTAAGTTCTTTCGTCTGAAGGAAAATACGAGGGGACTGCAGGAAGGGAGAGAAGTTTCCGCGGAAGGAACAAAATATCATTCGTGAGTAAAAATTAACATAATTTTTATCTTATCCCGCAATCTTTTGTCTTATCTGCGGGGTATTTTGCGCAGGCCCCCTTGCGAACCGGATACTCGCACCCTGAAACCGTCATTGGGAGCTGCTTTGCGTCGAGCTGCTACGTCGCTTCACGCATGCGCAGAAAGGCTTCTGTCCGCCGAGAAAATCTGAACTCCCAGCTGGGATCGATGCGATTGGTCGATAACCGATGATCAGCGCCATTAAGCCCCGCAGGTACGTTACGAGCGGTCGGTAACATCAAGTTCTCCGGTCGTCTCCGTGGGATTCTCGCTGGATAAGTGGGAATAAATTCGTGGCCGAGAATGTCCGACACAGTGTGCGTCTTGTCGATGACTGAACTCGCGACAGTCATCCGCTGAACCTGGTTAATTATTAATCGTTTCAGGTACGTCGTTGTCTATCGTAAACTATTGTCTGCGTCATCTCCAAATGTTTGTCGATCGGATTCACGCGAGCATCACGCCACTAACGGTCGTTATTATTGCATCCCGCGCGAGTGCGAATATATACAGTTTGACGAAGGTGAGAGGAATACGAGTAGCAACGACGGAAGGACGTTACGTCGCCGATAAAAACACAAAGTTCGCGAGGCGAATTCGGTCGAGTACGAGCGCGCGGCCACCAGATTTAACGAACGTGACGTTCGCCTCGAGGTCGTCGGGCAGCGCGAAACGTTGCTTCTCGGTCCCGGGGGAGAAAAACGACGTCCTTCTGAAAAGAACATAGTCCGAGCGTGTTGACAAAGTCGCACTTTTCACACGGAGATAACCTTGCGTCGCGCGAGAAAAACCGTACCGTCACCACTTGTTTCCGCGATGTTTTGACTTCGTCGCTCGCCATCTGCCGATCACTCTCAGTCGCTGCCACCCAAATAACCCCGCTCTTTATTCCGTGTGTGTTAACAGATCCAATTTAAATAAGATGTCGTTGATCGAGGGTATAGGCGATGAAGTCACCAACTTCTTCATCGTCATGAGCGTGCTGGTCGTGGGATGGCTCGCTTGGTGTTCCACAAGCATAGCCGACCAGCCGTTGATACGCACAGTACTTATATTGCGTGACCGGGCCCCAACACGCATCGTAACGTTGAGGGCCAATCACCAGAACACGAGCAGCAATGAACAGCCCCCCAGTGCGGAAAGGACGGAAGAGGAGACGATAGGAGCAGCGGTCTCTGCTAACAGTGATGACGCGCAATCAAACTGTCCAGATGCGCCAAACATAGGTGGATATTTCTTCGCATGCCACCTGCAGTACCCGGCCGTGTTATTAGACGCACCTTAATTTTTTACATTTCCATCGATCCCCGAGAACCAGCTTTACAATACGGTCGATTGATCGAGTTAAGAAATTTTGATTCTATAAAAAGTATGTTTTTTTTTACCACGTCATTTCACTCGGCTGTTGTTATGTCTGAGCAAGTGTGAACCCAGCCTGGTTGCGTCGTTGATAACAATGAGAGCAGACGTGAATGTTAAGCTTGCCTCGATTGAAATTTAGCTTTATTTTTGTTTACTTCCGGCTTGAAACTTCTAATTCCTCGCTCACTGAGAGAAAAAAAAAATGTTTGTGTGAAAAATATGAATACTGTTTGCAAAAATTACAGATGAAAAACAAATGATTTTACACCTCGGAAGGAGGTAAAAGTGCTGATTAACATCGAAAATTCTAATCGAGTAAAAAAAAAATAATAAAATAGTAGCTTCTCCCCTCTTCCAAATCTGCGTTCTATTAAAGAATCAAAGTGCGTCGAATAACACAGCCACAGACTGTGTGTTGTCTAATAATGTTACAGTTGTATATTATAAATAGATAGCTGCCAATATTCTTTTTTTTTTTTTTTTACAAAGCGTACTGTGTAAATTTCCATCTTTTAATATCAGACACAGATGGAGCTTCTCAAGAAGTTAACGCCATATCGCTACCTCCAACAACGGAAGAAGTACTTCTCGAGGCTATGGACTCGTACAGCAATGACGGGCCATCGCTCTTGCAAAGATCCGTCAAGACAAACAATACTGATGAGGCGAATACGAAGGAACAAACCACTTCGGCGGAATGCACAGCGGAAGATGCGCCCGCAAGCGACAACAACGATATCACCATAAAGCTAAAGTTCATAAACGACGATCAGAAACAAGTCACCGGCAGCCTTAAAGAAATGTTGGGCGAATTTAAAAGGTAATTGTGACTCTGAAAGAGTCGCCTTTAAACCTTGATCGTCACACCGCAAAACCTTTAATGTACAATCTCCCCCCCACATATTTTCACATTGTATCACCAATAAGTCACTCGCATTAAATAGTATATATTAAATAGTATACGCTGTGTATTCGACATTTTATTGTGCACGGCCTCTCCTACTACTATTCATGGCATTTTCTAGGAGACACTTCCAAATGGAGCTGGAGGCGCGTAAGTCGGTGCGGTTGGTGTTCAACGGCCGTGTGTTGCAGCCTGACACGCAAACTCTCGAACAATGCGGATTGTTCAACGAGTGCGTGGTGCACTGCTGGGTCCATCAGCCACGACCGACCAGTGCACCGTCGTCTCAAGCGTCCACCTTGGACGGCTCCTCGCCCATTTATTTCAATTCCCAGTCGTTCTCGGACCTGCCAGCCGGCGCGAGCATGAGCTCGGTGCGCAACGAATGGGATCTGAGCCGGCTCTTAGTGAGCATCCTGACGATCGTCCTGGGTCTCGCGTGGTACTCGCGGTATCATTACGCTCAGCTCTTCACCGCGACCACCACGCTCGCGCTCTACGCACTCACAGCGATCTTCACGGTCTCTCTGGTCAGCAATTTCTTTCCCGATCAGGATAACATCCGGAATGTCGAATAAAACGACGACGTGCCGTGCTGCGTGTATGCGTGTGTCTGTGTGTGTGTATGTGTGCGTGATTGGTTAACGGAAGCACCTCACGAGGAATAAAACTCTCCGGTTCAGACTTACATGTTTAAATGTTGATTATATGCGTTTACACGAGTTAACAAAAAGGATAAAAAGGTATAAGTGATAAATCAACTAGCGACCCGTCGCCGAGCATATTTGCCTTTGGCGTAAACGTTCTCGAGGACAGGTTTCATCGTTCACCACGCTCTTGTGATTTCCGCCAGAATGGCGGACGTTAGTCTCGAGTTGTATCTCCACCGGTACATAGATATGCTTAATTAAAGAGATCATGAAACGTAACGCCACGCGCGATGCTTATTTCTTTTTTCTTTCTTTGTCGTTGGCATATATATATATATATATTTTTTTTTTTTCCTCGAATCGTAATCGATCGTGCATCAAAACCTGTTCGGATAAACTTGTGTTATCGCATAGTACATGTGCACGAGAAAAATCAACCAGTTATTATGCAAAGTGTGGTACCTTTATATCAGGCGCACGATTTTTACGTACGTGTGCGTTATGCGACTACGCGAGTTTCGCCTGAATCGGTCTTTTTTTACCCGGCACGCAGGAAGCGCCAAATCGTCACAGGGTGCGACGTTCCTTTGCGGAAAATCGTGAAGGAATTTTTCGCAAAAGTTTTCTTTCTCCTCCTCCTCCCTTTCTTTCTCTCGATGAAATTCTTTCGAAACGATTCGATCAATGTCAATATTCTCCACGAAGAAATGTGGCCTTTTCGTTGTATGATAATATACAATAAGAGAGCACGAAAAATATCTTCCGTGAATATCTATGTTTTATCCTTATGCAATATTATCTTATAAGGAGGACTTTCATTAACCTATTTATTAATCTAATTTTTATTACTTCGATGAAGTTACGAGAGAATTATCAAGAAATTCTCTGTGGGTAGTTTTATTTATTATTAATATATATATATATATTTTTTTTTCCTTTAAATTTTGTATAGTACGTTGTTTAACATTCGGTGAAATGTTATCAAATGATACTGCAAATATATATTACGATTGTTTGAGATTTGCCGAGTTTAATGGAATTATTTTACAAATACACACACACACACACACACACACACACACACACACATATTTAAGCATCGTAAAGATTCGGGCAGTTACGTCTAATGAGCTGAGAAATTGTAATTGCCGGTAATGTGGAGTTGCATTTAAATAAATAAAAAAAAAATCGAAGGGGAAAGGGAATTAAATTATCTACGACCTACGTCTAATGCAAGCTCGAAATATTATTTATTTGTGTTGTACAATTTGTATGTAAAGAGAAAATGATATATATAATGCGTCAACGCGTCTATAACGAATTAGATTTCGAAATAAGTATAAAACATGAATAAGATTTTTCATAGATGTTTATAATATAGTCAAGATGGGGGAAGTGGCGGTACATATTATTGTCTCTCTCTCTCTCTCTCTCTCTCTTTTTATCGCGCTCAGTGTGCTATATAATTTCTATTCAAGTTAGCTCACAATAAATATATGCCAATTGTTTTTATCCGATGTCAATAAACGTCTAATTTATTTAATGCTTTTATCACGTGCTCTTCCTACTTCTTAGAAATAAATACGGTTGTATTATAAGTATGTACATCGTATAAGTACGTGATAAGATTGATAAGACGTGATAAGATTTCGTAAATATTAATAAAGAGGAGAAATGAAGTAACTGCAAATTTTCGTTAAATTTTAAGGAGACATCGAGAGGCAAAAATTACGCTTTACAATAGTCGAGAGCGATCTGAAGGATATAAATATCAAAAGAATGCATAGAAAGAAATAAATACAGTGATAAAATTCCAAAAGTATAGAAAGAAATAAATACGGTGACAAAATCCCAAAAGCAACTTAATATCAAAGTGACGATTAATCTTTCCCTTTTTCTTTCTCAATACAAAGACAGCAAAATGTCCAATACATATATATCCATATATTAACCTTGATCTTGTATTAAATAAATGCGGTAACTTTGCGATAAATAATGTTTAAATATTAATCGCTACTTTCCTCGCAGCAAAATATATATATATCTTTATATACTCACCTACATATACCTGTTAGTCAGAGAACCATTGCGAAACTGGAACGAAAAATGTATATCCCGAGTTCTTTTCTTTTTTATTCTTAGATATTTCCCGACTCGATAGTTAAAAATACTCCGTTTCCCTCTCTTAGAAACTCAAAACGCGCGTTACAAAATGCGATAACAATAATGTATCTTCACAAGATGCTCGCGTATTTCTTCACATCCTTCTCGACGATGCGATTGTTCGAGGAACCGGCAAAAAAAAAAAAAGGAAAAAAAGAAAAACGATTCAACTTTCAACTCGAGCCGCTAAAACTCCAACGTTCGGCCGCGCAGGTGATTCGTCGGCGTCGCGCGGCAGGGCAGAGCGAGGTCCGAGTCGTCGAGCAACGAGCCCAACTGTCGTTTGAGCCTCGCGTCGCTCAAAATGAAGTCGCCCTTAGGATTCTCCAAGAGCACGCTCCCCGTCGTCGTGCCGTTCTTCACGTTGACGAAATCGCAGACGGCGGTGCGCGTGTCTTCGCCGCCGGCCGGCGAAGTGCCCGGCCTCACCACCTTGAGCGTTCGTCCGTCGAACGTTTCGGCCGGCACCGGCGTGTCACTCGCCTCGGTGATCAATTCGTTATTCAAGTACAGGTCGTAGGGGAGACCGTAGATACCGAATATGAGCTCGACCTCTCGTTTCAGACGCTCGTACGTGATGGGCCCGGAAGCCTCGGGGGTGTCGAGGAGGACCGTGGCGCGGTGGGCGGTCGCGCCGAACCTCGGCTCTATGTTCACCAGCTGCAGATTGACGTAACCGGCGAAGGGCCGCGTCGATCCGTCCTCCGGCGGGGACTTCGGTTCGCTTCTCACCAGCACGAGTTTCATGTCCACCCCCTTGATCTTCTGCATCTCCTCGAGGATGACGACTGCGTCGGACGGTAGCTGCCCGATGTCCCTCTGCGGCGTCCTCGTGACGTTCTCGATGAACTCCTTGTAGCTGACCACCACCTTCGCCAGATTGCTGTCCGCTTCCCCGATCTCATAGTAGGCGGTCGCGTCGTCCGTGGGCACCATCTGCGCCTTCTTCCGCAGCTTCTGCACCCGATTGATCACCTCTCGCGCCACACCCTCGTTCCGCATCTCCTCGTCCGGGGTGACGTCCAGGAGGATCAGTACGTTGCCCTCGCTGTGCGCCTCGTAGCGTTTCGAGAGCTCCTCGGCGGCCGGGCCGGTGAAGCTGAACATGAGCCGGAGCTCGGACGGCTCCAGCACGTGGCCCTCGACGACGATCTCCTTCGTGTCGACGAAGGTGCGCAGCCGCTCGTCCGACAGCTCCTTGATCGCCTGTGCGACCCGCTTGAACTCCCCCTTCAGCCGCGCCCCGAGACTCTTGTGGTCCGGCTCGGCTCGCAACGTCACCCCGTACCTCTCCTTGTCCGTGGTGGTCGTAAGTTTCCTCACGTTCAGCTCGCCGAGGATGTACGACTCCAGCGAGACGACGTCGCGCAGCACCTCCGGGTCCTGATGGATCACCACGATCTCCGGCAGGGGATACTTGGTGGGCACGGTCTTCCTGTCCCGCACCACGCGTCCCAGCTCGATTATCGTCTGCATGTGCGACACGGCCTTCTCGATCTTCTCGTCGATCAAGCGCGGCACCGGCTCCGGTATCATCTGATAGTGCACGCTGTCCATGTTCTCCCCGGACGGCGGTAGCCTCTTGGACAGACGCTGGAACATGGATTCCGTGAGGAAGGGCGTGAACGGCGCGTTCGTCCTCACCATCGTGTAGACCACCAGGAAGAGGGTGTTCAAGGCGTTCCGGCAGTCGTCGGCGCCGGTCTCGCCCTTCACGCGCTTCCTGTTCATCCGCACGTACCAGTTGGTGAGGTTGTCGATGTACTTGATCAGGTGGGGCACCACGGTGTACAGTCTGTAAGCGTGCATCTCACACTTGAGGAAGCCCAGCAGCGTCTGCGTGAATGACACTATCCACCTGTCCATTTTGTTCTCGGAGCGAAACTCGGCGGCGTCGAAGACGAAGGAGGCGCGCTCCTCCTTCTCGAAGCGCTCCAGGTTCTGCATGAGGAAGCGGAACGCGTTGTACCACGGCAGGAAGACGTCCTTTATCATGTCCCGCACCCCCTCCTCCTTGAAGCGGAGGTTCTCCGCGCGGACGACCGGCGAGTTGATGAGGTAGAGACGCAGCGCGTCCGCGCCGTACTTCTCCACGACGTCCATCGGGTTCGGATAGTTCTTCTTGCGCTTCGACATCTTCTGCCCGTCGGACGCGAGCACCAAGCCGTTCGCCACGAGGTTCCTGAACGGCGTTTTGCCGAACAGCGCGGTCGACACCACGAGGAGCGTGTAGAACCAGCCGCGGGTCTGGTCGATCCCCTCGGCGATGAAGTCCGCCGGGAAGCACCGGCGGAAGAAGTCCTCGCGACCCTCGAACGGGTAGTGCACGTGGGCGTACGGCATCGAACCGGACTCGAACCAGCAGTCGAAGACCTCGGGCAAGCGGCGCAGAGGCGGCTGGCCCGCCCGCCTCGACGGTATCGTCAGGTGGTCTATGTTCTCCCGGTGGAGGTCCGTCACCTTCGCGCCCGTCAGCGCCTCCAGCTCGGCGATGCTGCCGACGCACACGATCTCTCGCTTGTCCTCGGAGATCCACAGCGGGATGGGGTTGCCCCAGTAACGATTGCGACTGATGGCCCAGTCGCGCGCTTCGCGCAGCCAGTTGCCGAATCGCTTGTCCTTCACGTTCCCCGGCACCCAGTAGGTGGCGCTGTTCGCCTCCAGTAGTTTCTCCCTCATGTGCTCCACCTTGACGAACCACGAGGGCACGGCTTTGTAGATCAACGGCGTGTCGGACCGCCAGCAGAACGGGTAGTTGTGCTTGATGTTGCCGCTTACGAGCAGCTTCTTCTCCGACCGGAGGTGCTTTATGATCTCTTTGTCCGCGTCCTTCACGTACTTGCCGAGGAAGTCGTGCACCGGCTCGACGAAGCAGCCGCGGCTGTCGACGGGGCACACCGCCTCCTGGTGCTTCGTGATGATACCCGCCTCTAAGCAGCACCGGTAATCGTCCTCGCCGAAGTACGGCGCCTGGTGGACGATACCGGTCCCGGTCTCCGCGGTCACGTACGTGTCGTTCAACACTCGGAAGGCGCCCTCCTTCCTGAGATCGGCGTAATAGGGGAACAGCGGCTCGTAAGCCTTCCCTTTCAAGTCCGCGCCGTTTCTCTTGCCCTGCACCGTGTACAGGTCTTGCGAGTTGAAGACGAGTCCCAACTGAGCCTCCAGTAGGATGTAAACCTTACCGGACGCGTTGTCTCTCACCTCCGCGTATTCGAAGGTGGGGTTGGCGCAGAGCGCCAGGTTGCTGGGTAACGTCCACGGGGTCGTCGTCCAGGCCAGGATCGACACACCCGGCTCGTCCAGTAAAGGGAAGGCCACGATCACGGACGGGTCGGTGACGTCCTTGTAATTCTGACTGGCCTCGAAGTTCGACAGCGGCGTGTTGCAAGCCGTCGAATAGGGCATCACTTTGACACCTTGATAGACCAGGCCCATGTTGTACAGCTCCTTGAATACCCACCAGATCGACTCCATGTACCACGGATACATGGTCTTGTAGTCGTTCTTGAAGTCTATCCACCGGCCCATCCTGCTGATGATTATCTCCCATTCCTTGGAATACTTCATGATGATCTTGCGGCATTCATTGTTGTACGCCGCGATACCCATTTTTGCAACATCATCGGGCCCACGAATATCGAGCATCTTATCTATCTCGTATTCTACCGGCAATCCGTGCGTATCCCAGCCGAATCGACGCTCCACGTAAAAGCCGCTTTGATGCGCGTACCTCGTCACGATGTCCTTTATGGTGCCGGCGAGAATGTGGCCGTAATGCGGCAAACCGGTGGCGAACGGCGGGCCATCGTAAAACGTGTACCTAGGCCGGTTCTTCGACAGGTGGAGGCTGGTCTGAAACACGTCCAGATCCTTCCACAGCTTCTGCACCGCCTCCTCCTCCTTCGGGAAATTTACGGTCTCCGGCAGCTTCTCGCACATCTTTCCGAGTCCGAGGTCCCTTTCGAAGTATCTTTTCCCAGATGGAATCCGCAACTGGGAGCAAAGTGAACCACTAACCTGACGCAATCTCGTGACGTCTTTACGTAGAAGAAGATTAAGGCAAATTTAACACGCGTTCTTCTCAATTAGACTTCCTATCAGACAATTAATTCTTAATATTCTCGACATTTGATATCGAATAAGTTATTATTAATGATATTTTAATAGTGTTTAGATTCCTACGTACCCACGAGGAAGGAGGAGAGCAAATGGCACACTAATTCAAAAGCGAAGGCTCTTCTTATCCGCCGTTGAGGCCCCGGATTGGTCAACGAGTCTGGTGGCGGCTCGTAGCGGAGAGTCTGGAACTACGCTTTACAACAACGGGCCAATCCACTGATCCCATTATTTTCCGTTAATTCCAAGACCTCCGATACGAGTCGCCACCATATTTACCGGCAAGTCGTAGCACTCAACGATAAGTCGGATGGATTTCACTCTCAAGTGACACGACTCAATGGTGGGTCAGACGGCTTTTTATTTTCATAAGCGCGATTCAACGACAAACAGGATTTATTTTCGATTAATATGGTATCGCAACGACGGATCAAGTTTTTTTATTTTTCAATAACAACCGAATGTTTTTTTCTTTTTAATACATAGTAAAAAAAATTGCATCATTCAATACACAACATATACATTACATAAAAGTAAAAAAAAAACAATTTCTATTTTTATATATATTAATATACACATATGTACATATATATAAATTAAAATATTAAATACTCTCACTGTGGAATGAAATGCAATGAGCAACTGAGAATTTTCCAACTGCGTATTTTTAACCGTCTTAATTTGTTTTCTACGCAAAGACGTCACGAGATTGCGTCAGGTTAGTGGTTCACCTTGATGACCAGTTCCGGATTCCATCTGGGATTCCTATCGCTTGCGTGCGAAGTGCAGTTTCGCAACTATTTATAACACTTAATTGCGACAATTTCCACAATTTTAAATATTTAACTTGTAACGCGTTCTACGACACCCTGTGCAATATGACACAATGACTAGATGACTGAAGTACACAACGCAATACTAATTCTAGTTTCGTGATTCGCGATGCATCATGTGTTGTACTCGGGGTCGTTGGCCGCCGACGTAGATCACCCGCCTGTGCTCGTCCGGATGGATCAGCTCGTCCGTGTGCTTCCACCGCCACTTCTTCTCGCTCTCCTTGATACGCCTGTGATCGATGTAACTGATAACGCAACTCGCCGGTATCCAAACAATGGCAGTAATGATTATCACAGCTCCTACTATGTTGTCTTTGAGGAAACGCATCACTTTGTTGATGTTTATGTCCTCGATGATGTCCCAGAATCGTTCCACCACATCTTGAATCGTTTTCTCGCATATACCCTGAAACGATACACATACATGCGACACCAGACGGCGGATCATGTGAGGTTCGTTGCGAGGAAAAGAAGCTCGCTTCGGCGTGTCACCTTGTTGCAGAAGCCTTGAATGCACGGTGTGCCGTCCGGCAAAATATCCTGCGGATCGATCGGGAAGCACGTCTCGTTTAAACTCATCCTGCAGCATCTTTTGCACGCATCGCCAACTGTTGGGGAAATACGGCGTAACAAGTATCGACGGAACAATATATAATAACGTAATCTACCGTTCCGTTTCATCTTTCACCAATCAACCGGATCTAATAACGCTAATATATGACTAACACCGTGACAAATGTTGGCTATTTTCGGGCATCACCGCGATATATCGGAAAGTTGGAATGTAAAATGCATACTTGTGTCGCACATGCAGCTTTGTAAACTCTGGGTCTCGCAGTACGGCACGCATTTGCCCGTGCGGCATTGCCCACGTTCGAGACAATTGGTGCCGTCCTTCATAGGCGGTGATTTCGGACATTCACTGGACGCCCCGGTGCAACGCGACTCCTGTTCGCAGGTCGAGTATTGGGCGTCGCGACACTTCGTGCCCGAAGGCATGTACGCGCAATTCTGACAGCAAGGGGAGTTCTTGTCGCTGAGGAGAGGATACGATCGGCATTACGTACTGATTAATTAGCGTAATTCGTATGATCAATTGTCAGAGGAGAAATCTACACGTCCGTGATACCTCTATCTCTATCGTTACCTGCAAACTGCGTTCTGATTCCTTCGAAGTTTGCAGTTTTTATCGCAACATGCGTCGTTATCCTCCGTTCCGAGGAGGCCCGCGTCGCACTCCTCGTCACCCTCGACTCTTAAGTTACCGCAGAACGATTCCTCCGGTTCCGAGAAACACCGTCCGGATTTCGCCTGCAACACCTTCCTGATGGATCGCAAGCTGCACGGCGAAAATCTCTGCGCGAGTGAAAAGTAACTTTATACATCCGTGAATATCTGTCTATGGGCGCGCAGTAATTGTGCGTGAGTCTACATTGTATAAAACAGGGTATCGATGTCGAGAAACGGGAACTTTTAGCGGTAACTAGAATGTGAGTGAAAGGAGAGGAACTCTACCTTGTTATTTACATCATAGCCGCTAACGCTGTAAGTGTACATCAAATAAGATCCACCCTGGCTCGCGCTCGGGCTGCATTCCTACATTGATAAAGCAGGAACATCGAATCTCGGCCTTCGAGAAAATGAAAATCACCTTTTAAACTTGTTACTCACTGTAATATCCGGATCATGTTCGGAACCCCAATTATGGCCAAATTCATGCGCCGTTACTAGATCGGCCTCTCTCGTAATTACTCTCTGCCCATAATGATTCCTGCTGGAGCTCAGTCCGGAATTCAGATACAACGTGTATCCATTTTTAAAGTATTCTGCAATATGAAATATTTTCATCGGTGGAAATAACGAGTCACTTCACTTTCGTGTTACACGCGATATTGGAGTGAGTCGTCTAACTTCTCAAGTCGTTGTAACTTTAATTACATGTTTCGAGAACTTCCATGTTGTAAAGGTTACATACGCATCATTCAATGCGATGGCCACGGTGTTAAACGGTATTTGAGATCACAACGAGAAGTTTCATCGATTATTTTAGATTGAAACGTTAAGTGGCTCACTCGGTACAATTCATTTAGGATAATATGAATGTATGAAGTTCAGCTTCTCCGATGTACCTGGTGTACAAATGCCACCTACTGAATTTCTACGAGGAGATCCGACATAGGCTAGCCCGAGAATACCACCTTCAAACTTGAGATCAGTGAATAAATGGGCCAAACAAAAATCCTTGTGGCTGTATTCTCGGCTAAATACCTGCATCAACACGGTAACGTTCAATGGATGAGCTTAATTTCACGAATTTCGGTAAAGAATGTACTTTAATCGTGTGGATTATACAGCAACCTCGAGCAATGTGCGGACGTCCCACTTCTCACGAACCATATTGTAATGGGTTTCACCACCTCTCACTCGTGTGGGCTCACTGTGGACGACGATTTTCTTTATGACGAAACCCATCCCTTTGAAACCATCCTGTTCCTGCCGTTCTTGCCACATGGTGTCATTGTAAATCTTGTGCACTCTGTCAATCAAACTTATCTATAAAAAGATTCATACAGTTATGCTCCTTAATCAACGCTCGAACTGGACAATAATGTGCGGCCATACTTATGTACCAGATAATTAATTGTAGTTTTCGTACTACTGGCTCCCATCTCCTGGTAAAATCGATAATCAGCTACCAACAATAACGGACATCTCGTTTTCGTCGGTGTATATTCGTAATTTTCTGTATGTCTCTTTACCCTACGGCTATCTATCTCCATATCGTCCTCTTCAAAATCATCCTTCTCATCCAGCAGAAAATCTGTGGCAAAAATAATCTTGTCACGATACTGAAGGCAATTATATAAGAGAAAAATTGTACACGAAAAAGTTATTTATATCTCATTCGTATTCTGGCAAAATCATACTTGAGTTTTCTTTAACGTAACCACAGGTTTTAGGAGCTCCATGTGTATGTCCTTCTCCATCTTGATAATGCTCCCAACTGAGCTTAACATCCGAAGATTTGTAAATTATCATTGTTTGATTATCAAATTGTGGAAGATGCCTCCAGGATGGCTGAAACATGTTCACTTCTTCACTACATATATATATGAATTTATATAGCGTACGTTTTATATTTAGATAATGGCAGGCTAACAGAGATCAATAATTATCAGGAGAATAATCAGAAAATTTTACAACTATTATTATATACTTAAACGTGTACTTACCTCGATATGAAAGGTTTCATCCAATATTGTAATACTACCCGTCACAATACCATTATCAATATGTACTTGGGCATGAGATTCAATTTCACCAAATACACGGCCATGGTAAAAGCTGTCATGATCTGTATATAGACATCCATTAGAAAATAACAATGACTTAAATCTGTCTACTGTAATAAATATTACATTCATACCTAAATGTATAGTTTTTTCTTTTCCATCAGCATTGACTTCGTATGCCTTGAAATTGGAATGTATAACTTCTCTCCTAGGGGTTAAAATTAACCGAAAATGTCTATAATCAAAAGAGATATTATCAATTGGTGTTCATTAAAATAGAATATTTTGATAATGGTAATTTATATTTTGAAAGAATTAAGTCTCTTACCGTCCATGTGAGTGGAATTCTAGTTCATTAATTTTATTATAAGGATGATAGCTGTGCTGAATGCCGCGTTTTGTAATCCTATGTTGAAGACTGGTACTATGAATTGTTTCATAATATTTTAAATTTTTATGAAGTCCGTCTGTTGAAATAAGAAATTAATGAGAATTTAATGAATAAGTAACCAGCTAAAATAATTGTTGTGTCAAGATTGTAATATAAACTCACAAACACTTTGTAGAATGATGAAAGTACAGTAGATGAATGAAGTATCTTGAATCTTCATTGTCAGCAGAGTTACACGAGGAAAAATGTAAGTCCTCTTAGTTTGTATACGTTTATATTCTTGTTCTTCAAATTACTGTGTTATGATTTGGAGATTGTACATATGACTGTCGAAAGGACTGGCACCAGTACAATTTCATGAATACTTTCGACGCACTTCGTCCAAAAACAATTTACGGCAAATAACATAATAACGTGCATAAGTAGAAAAAAATTGGATTGTTACATGTTATTTTGTGAGGTAAAAATTGTCTCTTATTTGTCATAATTTTATATTTCTAGGTTATTGTATGTAGCGTGTGCTATTCGATTTTTAGGTTATAAAACAAATCGCTACAGTGTCGGTCTACAATAGATATCTTTAGCCTTAAGAAATTGACCAATCACAATTGATATTCGACTGTGATTGGTCATTTTTTTAGGCTTACAGCTTAAAACATCCATTGTAGACCGAGACTTAAGCGGGGTCTACAATGAGAATTTAAGGCGAATCATTTAAAAAACTGACCAATCATAATTGGTTGTTCTTCTATAATTCGACTGTGATTGGTCAATTTCTTAAGGTTTAAAGCTTAAAGCATCTATTGTAGGCCGGAACTTAAGCGGGGCCTACAATAAAAATTTTAATTCTAAACTTTAAGAAATTGACCAATCACAAATTATAGAAGAATAATCAATTGTGATTGATCAATTTCTTAAAGCTTAAGGTTTAAAACTCTATTGTAGACCTAAGAATCTAGGGACGGAGTATAAAGTGAAATTTTAAGGAGTTTAGCTAAATTGGCGGCAAGGGGAATGAGAGCTCTCTACTTTTTTATTCGCTTTTTATTCTCTTTCTACTATAGGTACTATAGGTTCACAATGCTTGATTCATTTTCTTGTGCAAGCATGAGTCACGAATAAAGGCAATTTATTTTTGTTATTGACATCAAGCCCAGAGTATAACTCTTTCCTACCGAACCCGGCAATCCGGCGAGCTCAACCAGAGCACCGCTCTCGACACAATATTAAGTAATTAATTCGTATTCGACGAAATTTGTGTAATATAAATATTATTAGTATTAATTAACCATAAGTTAATTTGATCTCAGTGGAAAATGCTTAGACTAAATGATTAAATGCAAATACTTTTTTGTTTATTTCAAAGTAGCCTATAGTTAGTCGTTATGTATAAGTATGTGTACATATATTGCCGAAATCTGCAAAGTAGTAATTACTGCGCTTATTATCAGAGAATAATATTAATATTTCATTCAGATTTATCGCATATGTGAAAAAAGAACATCGTCTGTCAGCTGCATAGCTGTACAAAATGCAACAAGCACCGAAGCACGTGTGAAAAAAATGACGTAATAATTATCAGCGTACCTGCAAGTGTATTTGCGTTGATGTACCTGCGAGTATTCCTGTCAATGTATTGGAAGAAATACATAGGACACTGACATTTTCAATACCGACAGTACGTGATAGTGAATCTTTGTCGATATCGATTTTACGCAAACACAGAACATTATCTCGTCTTGATTTATACAAGGTATCAATTTTACATATTTCAAAAGAATGAAATAAAATGTTATGTTTATGAAAATAATGTAGCATAATTAAAAAAAATTGTACATGCTTATATTAAAATTATATACCTGCACTAAACGTGCCTTTGTATCGCTAATTTTGTGTTTTAAATATTCCAATAATCTATTAAAATCTATGTTAAAATATGTTAAAAACATTTGCACAAGTACTTATTATTTTTATTTTTTAGATGGGATTGATCAATACTCCATCTTGTACTTCAAAAGTAGAAGCCGCGACTTTTATTACACAAGAGATTATTGAACTCTCCAGAAAAGAAGTGGATTCGAGAAGTGCATAGACGAGAAGTAAAGTTAATTCGCCGGAAACTTTATAATTATAAACGACAAGTAATGTCGTTATATCTTTATAAATATAAAATGACAAGTTCGGCATAAGAAAAAAATTCAAACTCTTGAAAGAGTTTTACATTCTTTAAAGGAAAGAAACCTGCTGTCATCGGAGGACCTGGAAGTTATTGAAAATTACAGTGAATGAAATAAGAATTTCTTAAATCGACAAATACATATTGTTAAAAAATGTATATAATATAAATAAATGTCAATACCTTTTTAGCACTACTTTTATATTACAGTTAGTCATGTATAATGTAAGTTGTATGTTGTCTACTTTTTATATGTAACGTGTAACGTGTAACGTAATAAAAAAATGCCTGTTATTTTAGCAATAAAATATTATTATTTAACTAACAGTGAATAGAAATGAACTATGTATCTTCCATACTCACGATTCTGAAATAAATGGAGTCTACAATACGAAAATCTGATTTATGTCCACTTTTTCGACGTTTCGCATCACTGTGGGTCGTTGGAATAGAATCTAGAATCCAGAAGATTCCAAAACTGTCGGACTTCGCGCTCGCGCATCGCACTTTGACACATCGCGCTTTCGCCGAAATATTACGCAGCGCGGAGACGTCACGCGCATGGCACGCGTGAATGAGTCGCTACATGGCGGGCACGTGGAAGCGAGTCACGCCGAGATCTCCTTAATGCGCGACCTTTTTCTCCAACAACTTTAAAAACTTGCTCGCTACCCCTCAAAGACATCTACGTTACATGCATGTCGATTAAACATCGATTCCGCGTGGATTCCACGGATGTCCTCATGGGATACGCACGGTCGTCACGAGTCAGGACACGCCAGTATCTTTAGAGCGTATATCTCGCAATAAATAGTCCATATGTCACAGAGCGTCGGTTAGTCGCGATCGTCGGTCATTTATCAAGTAATGATGAATGAATCGCGTTCGCGAGGTCTCGGATCGTCAATTTAAATCCGCCGAGACCACACGCGATCGCCGTTACACTGTCGGTGTAACAACTTTCTAGGCAGGCCGAACAGCGAATCTCATGACTATTTCCGTAGGACAATCTTGCGAATATCGTTCGCTCTAAGGAGAGTCTTGATTTTCGCACGAGAGCCGCACAATTGTGCATTTCGTGGTTTTGTGTACGGTATATTCCGTTCCGTGCGATGTCCGTTTGCCACGCGACGAAATTTCCGCCCCTTGCGTTGAGGATCTCCACCAGGACGTTCAACAAAGCGTCGAAAACTCGAATTTCTGATGTGAATTATAGGCAATAGTCTGCGCAAAAGTAAAATCTCAGCGCATCCTTTGTCCGTCCACTCGCATTGCACGCTGCACGCTTCAGCTTTTTTATTCAACGCGACTGTCATTATATAATGAATTGTATTGTAATTAATTAATAAATAGTTTTTGTGCATCACAGTGAAAACTCACTCGCCTTGCCTCCCGGCCCTTCAGCGCTTCCGAGGAAGGGAGTAACGCACAGCGGGCAGCATTGCGCGATTGCGGCGTTTCGATCGCATCGCGATCGAGCCAGGAATTTGTTTTAAAAGTAGACAAAATACGAATAAATCATTTTATAAATCTAAACAAATTGTTTTCTAATAGTAAAAAAAATGTTTATTTAACATAAAAAAGATTCCTTAATATTAGGAAATGATTAATTCAGATTTACAAAGTGATTCATTTGCATTTGTTTACTTTTAAGTCAGGCAGATATTTATTTAAATATCATTTTTACATTTAAAAAACTATTTTTTCTTGTAAAGAAATAATTTGTTTTCTCTTATATAAAGATATTTTAAATCAAAAAAATTATATTTTTTAATCTAGAAACTCGTGATTTTACAAATCATTTTATATATTTAAAAAAAATATTGTTTTGTATTTATGAATTTTTTCTTAAATATAATATATATTTTTCTAAGTTTGTAAAATATATTTAACAAAATATATTTTCTTTATTTTTAAAATAATTTTTTTCAGTATATAAACTACTCACTTTGTGTGTCGCTAGTGCGTGTGTACATGCGATTTGGAAGATTAAATTCCCTAAACAAGAAAAGTATCTTTTTCACGGTTAAGATTTTGAGATCTCACAAGTAACTGCACCAATTTTGGTCGCGCTGATCACAATCAAAAACTTGCAACAACATTACATATGATTTTTTAAAACTTACTCTTCTAAACTTACCCCTTTGATACTAATATTTTGTCGTAAATATAAGCAATTAGATATTGTACTATACATGCTAAACTATTCACTTAAAATACATACTTTTTAAAAATTTAAGATAAAAATTTCTCCCTTACTTGGAATAATTTCGGCATTATAATTAGATACACAGATTGTTTTATTGCAAAAATACATCCCTATAAAATATCTCAAAAAATTATCCTCGCATATTGCCGCACACTAATGCATTCATCGAGACTCATAAAAACTTCACTCATCAATATTCCTATATCCAACGACCTCGTACTTCATATTACGGTATGAAACTGATGTGTTGAATTCATGGCCAATTAAAATCTATTACAGTGACGGGCGGAGATATAATATATCGTTTCAGCATCGAATCAGTATTTAGCTCGCTGTCGAAATAAGAGGGAGGACACGGAGGAAGAAAATCCATCATGTCGCGTGCGCCGCAGCGAAGGCAGACCGCTCCGGACCTTCTCATTCCCATCCCGATGGACACATTCCTCAGCGAAGAAAACGACCGGATCCAGATCGAGGATGATGACGTCTGCGAGTGCCCATCTCCGCGACAAAATCACTCCAAGTACATCGGGGACTACGTCAATCCAGCGGGTATCGATCGCTCGTCCGTGCATAACAACAAACATTTCATCAGGATCGCCCTCATGAAGCACGCACGTCAAGAAGGTTGCAGATTTCAGCTCTGCAAGGATCTCGAGAAGCTGAGTGGAACGGACGAGACGAACACGTTCCTCGCGGCCTGCGAACCGAATGAGATCAACGTCTTGTTGTTGTACGCGAGTTTCCTCGGTCGTGCTGATCTCATTTGCCGTTTGTGCGAACACGATGCTAACGTGAACCACGCCGAGTCTGACGTGGGTCTTACAGCCTTGCATTTGTGCGCGTTTCGAAATTGCCTGTACGGTGTTCGGTATTTGATAGAGAAGAAGGACGCGAACATCCGTTTCAATCAGACTCACACGCCGTTTCATTACGCCGCCTTCGGTAATTCCTACGACGTCGCTCGTTATTTCCTGGAGTTACCTGTGACCCAAGAGGCGTCTTCTCAGGACGAGGAGACGGTGCTACATGTGGCGGCGCGTGCCGACGCTGTACGCGTGCTCTCGCTGTTAGCTCTGAATAACAACGAGATGGACCGATTCGACCGGAACGGGTTCGCCGCTATCCATTACGCCGCTTTGTACGGTAACTTGGAATGCTTGAACGTGTTTCTGCAGTCGGACTGTCCAGTAAATTTGCCCACCGAGTCGAAGAAGACCGCTTTGCACATGGCCGCGACGGGAGGTTGGGTGGACGTGGTCCGTCTCCTGATCGAATCGAATGCGGATATTCAGCAGCAGGATCAGGCGGGAGACACGGCCTTGCACGCAGCCGTGAATTTTCACAGACTGGAGTGCGTGGAGGCCTTGCTGGTACACGACGCCGACCCGAACGCGGAGAACAACATAGGTCGATCGTCCCTGCATCAGGCCCTGAATGGCTCCCCAATAAGCGACAACATCATCGAACTTCTGCTGACCGCAAATGCGGATGTGAAAAAAGCCGACAGATACGGCAACACGCCTCTTCACATCGCCGCCTCGAAGGAGCTGTCACGATACGTTAATCTGCTGATCGAGCGCGAGGCCGACCTCAGCGCTAAGACCAAGGAAGGCACCAGTGCCTTATCCATCGTCCTGCGCAAGACTCCCACTTGCTTGGACATCTTCAAGCAAAGGCTGGATAAATTTGTCACCCTGCAGGGGCAAGGGTTCGTCGCTGGCGAGCTGAAGCTGAAAATGGAATTCCGTCCGTTGTTGCCGCCAGAGCATTGTGGACAGAGCGACATCAGTTATCTGAACATGTTCGTGAAAGAGGGCTACAAGGAGATCCTGCAGCACCCTCTGTGCCAGTCCTTCCTTCATCTCAAGTGGAAGAATATCAGGAAGTTTTACATCGCCAGGTTGTTTTCCTACCTGGTCTATCTGCTGTTCCTCATGAGCTGGGTGATGACCGGTCTGGCCTATAACTGTTACAACGAATCGCACGGGATCGAACGCAAGCCACCTCTCTGCACTGATGCGTCCGGGATCTTTGTTATTTCGAAAAACCGCGCGATACTCGAGGAGCAGTGGGTCATGCTGGTGGTGCTCACCCTGTTAGAGATCGTTCGCAAGATCACTGTGTTGCCCAGTTACCTTACCGTCCGACAGTTCTTCACGCAGGAGAACCTGGTGGACTGGTGCCTGATACTGACCGTGCTCGCGATCTCGTGCGTGTACACCGACAGAACGTATGCTTGGCAGAGATACCTCGGTGCCTTCGCCGTGTTCTGCGGCTGGAGCAACTTGATGCTGATGATAGGCCAATTCCCGATGTTCGGCACTTACGTCGCGATGTTCACCAGCGTGCAAGCCGAAGTCTTTAAGCTCCTTCTAGCGTACGCCTGCCTTCTGGTGGGCTTCACTGCCAGCTTTTGCATTATCTTCCCACACGACGAGCTGTTTAGCAGCTTCAGCATGGCTTTCATCAAGATTCTCGCGATGATGACCGGCGAACTGACTTTTGACTACTTCTTTCAATCTAACAAAACATTCTCCCAAGCCGACTTGCCGGACGTAAATCGGAATACCTGGGTCTTCCAGCAAATCTCAGCTCAATTCTTCTTCATGCTGTTCCTGCTGATCGTGACGATCGTGCTGATGAATCTACTGATCGGGATAGCTGTGCACGATATCAAAGGACTGCAGAAGTCGGCGGGGCTTGAGAAACTCGTTCGTCAGACCAATCTGATTTACGACATGGAAGTCGCGCTCCATACCGCGGTTCTGCCGAAACGTCTGTTGAAGTGGTTGCGGTGGTCCGCGTTGATTCAACCATCGCCAGTGTGCCCCGATATAACCGTCCATCCGCTAAATCCCCGAGAGACGAGCTTACCGCGCGATATTCTCTCGGCTGCCTACTCAATAGCCAAAGAAGGAAACGAGTATAATAATTCACCTTTATCACGTAGGAACACTTACGGTTCCCGCGATTGCGCAAAAACTTTTCTGAAAGATGACGTCTCTACCGCGTCGCGCCGCCGATGTAGCTTCGATGAAAACACATTGACACAAAATTACAACATACTTAAGAACGACTTTGTAGAACTCAAGATGATTTGTAAAAAGATTCTGACTCTCCTTCAAGAGCCCAGAAGGACGCACAGTACAAGTACGTATCGCGATCGGCGATAAAACGAAAACATTAATCGAGATGAATTGACAAAATTTCAAGTATAGTTTAAAAAATCAATTTATTTTTCAATTTTTGTTCGAAAAAAAATCGAAAATGTTTGTGGAAAAAATCGGGTTTTTTCCAATTTGTTTTCTTTCATTCATCCGCGGAAAGAAATCAAGACAAACCGTGGAAAAATGGAAAAAACTCGGGTTTTTTCTAAGGTTTTAACCCGGGATTATCACCTTCTTTTTTTTTTTTAAGTAAACGACCACCTGTGGTCATTTAGATTCCAACCACAAACCGCTATTATTAACAAAATATAGCATATTATCGATTGCTCTACGATTGATTATTATTTAAGGATACTGTAAATATAGATTTACTCTCTACTTTTTGAAAAAATGAGGAGAAACACAAAAAATATTAAGAACTGGAATAAGCTCATTAAATGTCTTATTATGACAGTATTTCGAATGATTGAAGATCTGTTGAAAAAATAATGTTTTATTACCTATTTTTAATGAGATAGCATATTTAAAAGTTCGTAAAGAATAATTGTTAAAAAAGATAATAGTTACCAACTGTTTAGTAATAATTACAAAATGAGTAGTAATATACAATTTTTCGATAAGTTGAACTAAGCAAATTATTCACTAAATATATATAATATTATATAATATAATAGTAATTAACAAATAGTTTGACATTTATATATTTATACAATAACACCCCAAGAGGCCAATAGAGTGTGTATCAGATCAAGAACTTATAGCTCAGGAATACGTTAACTTTATAATATAACTTTTCATTATTTCAACCTTAATATTATAATATAACTTTTCAATATTTATACCTTTATAATATAACTTTTCAATATTTCAACCTTAATATCTTGACTTATATATGACATGCGTTTTATTTAGCATAAGATTTGCACAGAGGAAATAATTTCTTTCAATTTAGTATTCCCGTTTGTTTAACTTTAATTCCTTGGGATTCGTTTTCAAATAATTTATTGTTTGGAATAATTATTATAATACTTGGTTTAAAACCTAAGAACAGTCATGGTATCTTTGGCACAGTAATATACATTATATCAATATTCATTTATATATCAACTTTTATTGTGATATTTTTAATGTTTTTAATGTTTTGCCAATAAATATTCATTACAATATTTTCCACACACTGTAAGAATACATTATATATGCGTTAAGTCACAGGCAAATCACAAGGATACCGCCAGAGCCATTGTAGTCAGTGTTAGTCGTCAGATCATCAAAATTAAGCAACAACGCGTGCGATAAGTAAGTGGCTGACTGAGACCGGCCGCCGCTTGGAATCAAAACCACGAAAAAATGTGAAATGACGATTCTTTTTTCTTTTAGCACGCTGGAAAATTTCAGCGAGTCCTTCTTTAAATTTCGTCATAGAGGAAAGTTTTTTTATAAAATTTTGTATAAAATATTTTTTATTGGGATAAGTAGTTTCTTTTTTGGAAATTGTATAAAATATTTTTTATTGGGATTAGGAGGTCCCTGGCATGTTGTATGAATATTAATATAATGTTACATTCAAGATTCCTGGGATGTTAATGATAGTTTAGATGAATATTTTTATGTTACTGGGATGTTAATGGCATGTTTATTTATCTCCGTGGAATATTATCATCTTACTATTTAAAGTTATTGTAATCTACTGGGACGTTGATGTTCAGTGAGGGGAGGAATTTTAGTAAAGATACAGAGTAGAAAGATTAAAGATAGACAAGTTAATTGGACATTTTAAGATCAATAGTGAATTTTAGAAAGTTTTATTATGTTATGAGATTTCGGCAATAAGTGCAGAGTAAAAGAGATTTCCTGGATCTTTTTAGAACGTAATTATTATGTACTGTTTCAATCAAAATCAATCAAAATCAATTATCTTTCGTGTCTGGTTTAAAATATATATTAGCATAAAAAGTATCGGTTAAACATGTAAAATGCCATTATTGCCAAGCTTCAAATTTTTCATTGGCACCATTACCATATGTAGAGAAAATAATATCCTTCGATGAAACTTCTGAAATTGTTTTCGGGATGTTTCTTGAGTTTCTAAACTCGAATCCTTGATTCGTCTAAATTTTCCAATTTTCGCAGTGCACTATAATAACGATAGAAAATGCAAATTAAATTAACGAAATCTTTAAACTGTGCTAAATTTTGACTTTAAATTTTAATTAGTAATTTTCAATATCGTTGAAATATTTAGTTTCTTTTAAACAGTAGCAATAAAATTATCCTACTTGTTTTTAATTGCGCATACATTAAACGTCTGTAACGTTTCATAGACCATTTGTTTTTCATAAAAATAACATATACATAATGCAATATACCATAACACATAGCAAACCACTCGAGGAATTAAATATTTATTATATATAATTAAAAGTTCAAGTTCTTCACGATCGTATTTATACAAATCCTGTTGACCTGTCCAAAGAGAACAAGTGGAAACTATCGAAGGAAAAAAGCGAAATGCTCGAAGCTAGAATATCGAGAAAATGTTTCCTTGAAGTCAATGTTATTTCCTTAATTTATGTGAAACAGTAGCGGAAACATCAATTGCAGGATTCTGTGC